TTAGTGTCTTGTCTTTCCTTTTTCTTTTATCCATACTTGACAAGTCTTACTTCATTCTTTTGTAGCCCCCAGCCCTATTTCATTGTCAGGCAAGTTTGAGTTGATCAGCCATCTGCATGTTGACTGCTTTTCTATTAATTACTATCACAAGGAAAAAGGAAGGGTGTTAAATGAAACTTAAGATATCCACAAGTTCAAGAATCAAGTGTACACTTCTCAATAACACCTGTGATGGATAAGAACAATGATCTGTATTTAAAAGGAGAAGGGGCAAGAATATAGTCCAAGTACTTTTAAATGGGTTATAAAAATAGAATGGGTTATAAAAATAGAATAGAACCCCTTGAAATTGTTTTGAGAGGCTAAGGTAGAATGATGGAGCAGGCAAGGCTAAAATGTGTACTTTGTCTGCATGTGTAAAAATGTCCTAATAAGCCAGGCTTCCGTGGCTCAAACCTGTAATCCTAGCTACTCAGGAGGCTGAGATCTGAAGATTGCAGTTCCACACCAGCCTGGTAAGAAAAGTCCGTGAGATTGATATCTCCAGTTAACCACCAGAAAACCACAAGGGGAGCTGTGATTCTAAGTGATAGAGTGCTAGCCTTGAGCAGAAAGGCTCAGGGACAGTGCTTAAGCCCTGAGTTCAAACTTCTCCTGTACAATAATGTATGTTTTATTAGGTGGAGGGGGGGAGAGGGGGGAGGATGGGAAGGGATGGGAAGGGGAAACAAAGGAGGAGGCTACAATGCTTGATAAGAAATGCACTCATTATCTTGCCCATGTAATTGTAACCCCTCTATACAGTATTTTCACAATAAAAAATAAAAATAAAATAAAAAAGAAACACTGATGAAAAAACCATTAAAAATTTAAAAAATAATGTATGCTTTTAAAAAAAATCTTGAGTGGCTGGAGAGGAATGAATCTGTTCAAGGTACATTAAGCATATATGGACATGTCAAAAAACAAATCATTTTGGGGCTGGGAAGTTGGCTCAGTGGTAGAGCGCTTGCCTTGCATGCCTGAGGTCCTGGGTTCGATTCCTCAGCACCACATAAGCAAAAAGAAAAAAGCCGTAAGTGTTGCTGTGGCTCAAGGGGTAGAGCGCTAGCCTTGAGCTCAAGAGCTGAGGGACAGCGCCCAGGCCCAGAGTTCAGGCCCCGCGACTGGACTCAAAATAAAATAAAATAAATCATTTTGTACAATTGATGCTAATAAAAATGCAAAACAAAACAAAACAAAAACAAAAACCACCCAGGGCAGGGTATTATTAGGCTTAGCGGTAGAGTATTTGCCTAGCATGCATGAAGTCCTGGGTTGGATCCTCAGTACCACATAAACAGAAAAAGCCAGAAGGGCGCTGTGGCTCAAGTGGTAGAGCGCTAGCCTTGAGCACAGACAGGCTCAGGGGCAGTGCCCAGGCCCTGAGTTCAAGCTCCAGGACTGGGGGGGGGGGGGGGGGGGGGAGAAACACCCCAAAACATTCAAGAAAGCTGACGGGGTGGCAGTGGGGACATCATGGGAAAATAATTCATAAAGAAGCAAAGTTCTCTTCTTCCCAACTCCCTGCGGCATTTGTGACTAGTTGTCTTCTTTGCCAGAGACCGAGATGGGAGAGGGAGGGGGAAGAGGAGGGGGGAAATGGAGGGTGAGGGGGAAGGGGAAGGGACAGGGGAGGGAGGGGAGGGGAGAGGCGGCGCGCCCAGGGGCGGCGGGCGTCCCTCGCCCCCGCCTCGCAGCGCGTCCACACTCGGCGTCCCGCACCAAGCCCCACCCACACGCCCACCCCTCACGCCCAGGCCCCAACCATGATCCGAAGACCCTGGAAAGCCCCGCCACCCTCTTGCGGCCCAGGAGTGAAGACCCCGCCTCACCACGGCGCCGGCCACAGCGTGGACCAGGCTCTCGTAGGACAGCACGGAGGACATTGGGGCGACCTCCCGTAGGCCTAGCCACACTTTCCTTTCAGACTCTTCAGCTCGCGGAGCTGGAAGGGAGCGCTGAGTACCCGGCCTGAGTGCCACAGGCCCCACCCTCGCAGGCCGGCCCACCGCCGCCCCAACCACTTCCGGACCACAGGGCGTACAGCCTCCAGTGACAAACGCCGCCGGGAGGAAGTAGTGGGCCCAGAAACGCCCCTGGAAAGGTGATTGGCTCCCGGGTGAGAAGTGGGCGGGACAGCGCTCGCAGGCGCCCGCCCAGACTGAGGAAGTGGTAGAAATCACCTGACTTCATTTGCGCCCTTACGGCTGCCAGTGACCTAATTTAGTCCAACCTCGCTTCAAGCCCGTTGCCACCATACCGTGCACCTCAGAAATTGTCTCCTTTCCCCGTCTTTCAAGAAGGGATGGAGACAGGGTGGCTTATCTTCCTCTGCGACTCTAATATCACTAAAGCCAATTGACAATGGCTGGGTAGCCTACAACTGGCCTGTAACTCCATCATCCTTCTGCCTCGGTGACCCAGACACTGGGATTGCAGAGGGGCACTAGCCCTACAATTATTACATGCAATTTCTTCTGAATTCTGTAATGTTTGTGTGTGTGTGTGTGCCGGTACTAGGTCAAGAACTCAGGGCCTGGAAACTGTTCCTGATCTTTTTATCACTCAAGGGTAGCACTGTACCTGCTCAGCCACAGCTTTTTGGTGGTTAATTCGAGAAGTCTCACGTACTGGCTTGCCTAGGCTGGCTCCAAACTGCTATCCTCAGATCTCAGCCTCCTGAGTAGCTAAGATTACAGGAGTGAGCCAATAGCATGCAACTATGATGTTTTTTAAAATCAATAGGCGGAGCACGATGATATAAAACCTTCATCTCTCGACCAAAAAAAAAACAAAACAACACTACTAGAGGGGCTGGGAAGGTGGCTCAGTGGTAGTGTTTTGGTTTGCATGCATGAGGCCCTGGGATCGATTCTTCAGCACCACATAAGCAGAAAAGGCTGAAAGTGGCTCTGTGGTGCAAGTAGGTCCCACGACAGACAAAAAACAAAACAGGGCTGGGAAGTTGGCTCAGTGGTAGAGCGCTTGCCTTGCATGCCTGAGGTCCTGGGTTCGATTCCTCAGCACCACATAAGCAAAAAGAAAAAAGCCGGAAGTGGTGCTGTGGCTCAAGTGGTAGAGCGCTAGCCTTGAGTTGAAGAGCTGAGGGACAGCGCCCAGGCCCAGAGTTCAGGCCCCACGACTGGACCAAAAAAAAAAAAAAAGAGCTAAGGGACAGTGCCCAGGCCCAGAGTTCAGGCTCCACAAGTTTTCTTCCAAAAAGCAGACCTATGGAATATGAATGTTAATTCTGTATATTAATAACTTCAGTATCTCCCTGTTTTCTTGGGTAGATGAGCAACAAAGCAACATAAACAAAGTACCCATAAACAAGCTATTTCCTGAATATGGCAAATACTGACTCTGGGGTCAGCTACCTTGCTAGCTTAGACTAGGGGTCTAACAACTGAATACCTTCCAGCCTGCAATGGCCAGCTAAAAGCACAAGACATAAAATATAAGTATCAACAGGGGAGTCACTATCTAGCCTATTCAGTGGGGCAGTCACTGTCCAGTTTATAAATATATATACATATATATATATATACACATACATATATAAACATAAACATCCAATAATCATTTTATAAGCAGAAAACAATCTCATATTGAGTATGAAATGAAGACTTTTCTATTTGTGTTAAAGTCTAAAAGCACAGGACACATTTTCACAGGAGCAATTTTATCCATTTATGGTGATATGTGCAGTATTAGAATATAGTTAGGTTGTGGGTAATTAAGTTCAACAAAGTCCGAAAGAAAGTGGTCTTCTTGAGTTAATAGGCAAAGCATACATTGGAAACTGTGACAAAGAACACACATGAGTAAAAAGAAGACGGGCAATGACAAGTTCAAATACAAGCATATAAGGTGAGTGTTCTCAAAGGATTTTAAAAGCATGCTCCAATAGCATATAGCTTTTTCTTATTCATGTAACATATATTTTTGTCTGCTACGTATACCAGAATCGGAATAAACATTATTTCAAAAATGTCCTAGTCTTGGTGTATGGTCACAGCATTTAGGGAAGAGCTGAATAGGATGACAATGAATCTGTCACAGTACCAGTTCTAAAACCAATAACCATGGCTCTTATAACCCAAACCATGTTATACCAAGCAGTTAATTCCCTGTATGAGTATCAATTAAACAGCATACTTTTCAAATTATAAAGATGAATACTCCAAGACAACTTGCAGTAGGTATGTCCTAAGCAGGAGACTTAACACCAAAAGGAGTCTGTCTTTGCAATCTCTTTTGGTGTGCCAAGACTTTACCAGTGAAGTTTATTATTTAAAAAGTAATCTCAGGGCCAAATAAGAAACTACAGCTGTAAGAGTATTACTCTACAGTGAACATACAGTACTTCATATTAAATTAGATGCTGACATAAGTATGTTTGGACAATAATGCTACGAATGATAACAGTGATGCCAGTGTTTTGTTTTTTTAAAAAAACAGAACTATCTTAAGCTCAAGAAGACTGAGAGAAAAATATGACAAGCAAAAAACAGATCTTTCCTATTAAGGAAAAACAATTTTTAACACAGAAATATAAAAAAAGTACTCCCTTATGTGGTAATGATAAAATATTTGTTAAGAACAGAGCTAAGTAATCCAATTCCACTGCAATGTAACAACAGTGTAAGATTTAAATGTAACTTACAGTGGGCTCATGTTATAAAACACATTTAAGACTGCTGCTGCTGCCCTGGCAAGTACTTCCACAGTGCCTACCCAGGTCATACTGAAATACTGGTGGTCCCAAGTTTACTGAAATAAATCATTAAAAAAGTTATCTGGAAGGACAAAAATATGCCTTAGTAATAACATATCCAACTCAAACTTAACCTACTTAAATGAGTTTTATTTCATTCCTACTAATAAACCTTTATTTCACTTACATTGGAGCAATAATTTTTTTTCCATATTTTCCTTGCCCAAAAATTCAAAGAAAACCCAAAATGATTAGTAAAGAAAAATGGAGGAATTAACACCCTTTTAATTTGTTTCAAATATATTGAAGGTTTAAAAGTGTTAAAGTTTCTAATTCCTAGGAGAACATTATCTGAATGAATACCCTAATGGCAAACCACTGTACAATGCTTCAGCTGCACTGGGTGCAGAGGGGTAGGGATAATCTTCAAAGCACCCCAGTCTCCAGACGAGGACAGAGGTACACTGGTTTGTATTATTGCGACATCCACATAGCGGTCTAGGTTGCTTTTCCTTCACCAAGGGCTATCTCAGAGAAGCATTATGCTTGACCTCCAAATTTGGCAGACAATTTACTGATGAGGTTCATAACCTTTGGATTACTCTGATACTTTGACATATTTGCAGGGTTCTGGGCCACATCCTGGAAGGCCACCATCACCTCTGGATCCTGAAAAGAAAGTTTGGTTTGTTTTCAGTATGTAAAGGTATCCCCCTGGATCTATAGTTCAGCATCCTAAGTCCCAACCTTTGCCCCAACTCTTTATGTTAGACCCATAACTTCATCACGGTCAAATTAACTGGAGTTTTAGGTAAGTCCCTGAAATGTAAAAATTTTATGCACTTCTAAGCTAAGCTCATTTGGATCATTTGAACTATATAATGAAAAAAGGCACTTAATTTTGATATGAAAAAATGGGACAACTAAATGAAATGGCTATTATTTCCTGAAACCATTTTTTTTTTTTTTTACTTTAACTGATGGTCTGGGCACTGTTCCTGAGCTTTATTGCTCAAGGCTGGTGCTCTTCCACCTAAGCCACAGCTTCACTCCTAGCTTTTGGCTGGTTAATGGAAATAAGAGTCTCATGGACTTTCTCCTGCCCGGACTTTGAGAGGAGATCCTCAGATCTCAGCCTTCTGAGTAGCTAGGATTAAAGGCATGAACCAGGAATGCCTGGTACTGAAAACAATTTTTAAAAACTTGGATCTAGGGGCTGGGAAGGTGGCTCAGTGGTAGAGTGCTTGCCTCACATGCAGGAGGTCCTGGGTTCAATTCCTCAGTATCACATAAACATAAAAGACTGCAAGTGGCACTGTGGCTCAAGTGGTAGACTGCTAGCCTTGAACAAAAGAAGCTCAGGAACAGTTCCCAGGCCCAGAGTTCAAGCCCCACAACTGACAAAAAAAAAAACCCACTTGAATCTATTTAATCTAAGAAGAAAGTATAATTTGCAAAAATAGCCCTTTGATAGCTACAATAAATAAAAATGAGTGATCCTTGTCACAGAATTCTAAATGAAATGCCTCAGTGATTGATGTCTAGATTTTGCCCTTACCTGCATGGCTGCGAGAACCTCTGGATCACTAAGAATCTCATTGAGCCCAGGCATTCCTGCCATTCCAGGCATGCCACCTCCCATTCCAGGCATTCCTCCAGGAAAATTACCAGGCATTCCCCCTGGAAAGCCACCTGTAAGAATAAATGGAAGACTGGAAGAATAGCTCAAGCATCTAAGCAAGTTTGAAGTACTGAGTTCAAATCCCAACATCAAAAACACCAAAATTTAAAAATAAGAAAGAAATGTAGACACCAACCAAACTCCAAAGCTATCAGATTCCAAGTAAAAAATTCTCTCTTCTTCCCTCTCTTCCCTCCACTTCTTACATACTCATACTCATTCATACATGAAGAATAAGCGCAATACTAAGCCCAAGTAGTCTCTAGTCTAATCAGAACTTCTAATTCTCTCTAAAAATACAGCTAGTTAGTAAACCACTTTACTATCTTCTAGATTCATTTTCCATTATCACAGAAGTTTAAACAAGACAACTAATATTACCTTAAAAATAGTCAACTAATACCTCAGATAAAGCCAGGTACACCTCAATCATCTAATTACACATTCTTGAATATCATTTTTGTTTAGATTTAAAGTTAACTCTTTTCTAGTAACAGTCCTTTCTTTTATTAAATGTTACATGGTGATTTAAGAAATTTCTGGCACTTTCATGAGAAATTAATGTAAGAAAATTCATGGACTGGGAAGGTAGCTCAGTGGTAGAGCGCTTGCCTTGCATGTATGAGGTCCTGGGTTTGATTCCTCAGCATCACATAAGCAGAAAAAAAAGCCAGAAGTGGCGCTGTGGCTCAAGTGGTAGAGCGCCAGCCTTGAGCTGAAGAGCTGAGGGACCCCCCCCCCAAAAAAAATCATACTGTACAAGGCAAAGCTGTTATCAGCCTTGGACAAAAATTGCAACAGATACTCTGATTTTTTTTTCTTCAGTTTTGTCTGTATTTACTTAAAGCAGCCATTTAAGAATATCTAAGACAGGTATTACAAAATTATATGGATTTCTGATTTCCACTCTAGACAGAGGAAAATATGAAATCTGAACTTACAATAGCACTCCTAGTGATTGTGTGTGTTTGTATGCCCATGTGCCCACTCACACATGTAGACTCATGTGTCAGGACCAGGGCTTGAACTCAAGGGCTGGTCCCTTAGCTTTTTCTCTCAAGGAAGGCTCTTCTACCACTTGGGGCACAACCCTACTTCCAGCATTTTACTGGTTAAAGGAAGGTAAGAATCTCATGGATTTTCCTACAAAGGATTAAGTAGCTAGGACCAGAAGACCCCTGCCTTCCTGGTGGCTCTCAACATGAAAGAATTCTCTAGCAAAAAGTATTTCTTCTTCTTTTTTTTTTGGGTCCAGTCGTGGGGCCTGAACTCTGGGCCTGGGCACTGTCCCTCAGCTCTTCAGCTCAAGGCTAGTGCTCTACCACTTGAGCCACAGTGCCACTTCCGGCTTTTTTCTTTTTTCTTATGTGGTGCTGAGGAATCGAAACCAGGGCCTCATGCATGCAAGGCAAGCTCTCTACCACTGAGCCACCTTCCCAGCCCTAGCAAAAAGGATTTCATCCACCAGATATATTGTTCACTTACAAAACCCACATTATTTCCTATTGTGCTTTGAAACTACAATTATGCTTATATAGGAGCATCTCTAAGGGAAAGTCAGTAACAAAGCATTTCATAGACTAAAGGTCACTATAAGTAAAGCCTCAGGCTCAACTATTTTTCTTCTTTTGGCCCATCCTGGGACTTGAACTTTCAGGAACTGAGCTTTTGCTCAAGGGTTAGTGCTCTACCACTTAAGAGTCACAGTGCCACGTGGAACTTTTTCTAAGTCAAACTTTTTCTAAGTAGTTTATTGGATTTAAGAGTTTCTCAGTTGCTAGGCGCCAGTGGCTCACCCTATAATCCTAGCTACTAATGAGGCTGAGATCTGAGGATCAAGGTTCAAAGCCAGCCGGGCAGGAAAGACGGTGAGACTCCTATCTCCAATAAACCACTAGAAAACCGGAAGTGGCACTGTAGCTCAAGTGGTAGAGTGCTCACCTTGAGCTGAAGAGCTGAGGGACAGCGCCCAGGTCCGGAGTTCAAACCCCAGACCAGCCAAAAAAAAAAAATCGTCTCTCAGCCTTTCAAGCCCATGCTGGCTTCAAACCCCAATCCTCCTATCTCAGTCTCTTTAGTAGCTAGGATTACAGGCATGAGCTACCAAAGTCCATCTATGCTCAACTATTTAAAGGAACAAAAAAACAACTTCTCTCTTTGTGTGTGTGTGTGTGTCTGTGTGTGTGTGAGAGAGAGAGAGAGAAAGAGAGAGAGTGTGTGTGTGTGTGTGTAACTCTTTGCCTAAGCTCTGTCCCTGAGCTTTTGTTTGCTCAAGGCTATACAGTTCTCTACCCTTTGAGCCACAGTACCTCTTCCAGCTTCTTCTGAGTAGTTTACTGGAGATAAGAGTCTCTCAAGCCAGACATTGGAGGCTTCTGCCTGTAATCCTAGCTACTCAGGAGGCTGAGATCTGAGATCTCAGCTCAAAGCCAGCCCAGGAACTCCAGGAGACTCTTTTCTCCAATAAACCACTCAGAAAATTGGAAGTGGCACTGTGGCTCAAGTGGTAGAGTGCTAGCCTTGAGCTGAAGAGCAGAGGGACAGCACCCAAGCTCAGAGTTCAAGCACCCCCCCCAAGTCTCATAGACTTTTTCCCCAGGCTGGCTTTGAATCACAATCCTCAGATTTCAGCCTCCAGAGAAGGATTACAGGTGTGAGCCACCAGAAAGTTTCTGACTCTTCTTCTCTCTTCTCCCACCTTCCTTTCCTGACCCTCCTGTCTATGTAAATCTCTTTTCTCTTCTCCCCCATTTCCTGGTAGGACAGTTTGAAATCAGAGCCTCTTCTTGATAGGCAGGCCATCTTATTAGTGCCTTTGTTCATCTTTATTTTTATTTTTTGGTGGTGGTGATACTGGGGCTTAAATTCAGGTTCTTAAAATTATTCAGCTTGCTGGCACTCTACTACCTACAGGAGTCACTGCCCAGGCTGGCCTGGAACCAAGAATCTCCCAATCTTAGCCTCTCATTTAGCTTAGGTCAAAGGTCTTGCAAACTTTGTCTGCCCCCAGGCCTTACAATGCTATCCTTTATTCTCAGCCTCACAAGTAGCTAGGATTACAGGCATGCACCACTGGAAACTAGTTCAATATCTAATTTTTCTTGTAGTCACTTTTTTCTTGGTCGGTCTTAGGGCTTGAACTCTGGGCCTGGGCACTGTCCCTTAGCTCTTCAGCTCAAGGGTAGCACTCTACCATTTGAGCCATAGCATCACTTCAGTTTTTCTAGTGGTTAATTAGAGATAGGAGTCTCATGGACTTTCCTGTCCCCCACTGGCTGAACCTCGATCCTCAGATCTCAGACTCTTGAGTAGCTGGGATTACAGGCATGAGCCACCTGCGCCCAGCTTATAGCCACTTTGATGGGCTTTGAAAACTCAGTTCCTAACCATAAAAAAAAGGTTATTGGTCCAAGACTTGGCAAATCTAGATAATAAAATGTACATAAGAGAGAATCTCTAGTACTAGTAATTCACATTAGTGGTCATTTTCTAAAACAAAGATCCAGCCAGTACAGTGCCAGTGTCTCACTCCTGTAATCCTAGCTACTCAGGAGGCTGAGATCTGAGAATTGCAGTTAGAAGCCAGGTCCAGGAGAAAAGCCTTCGTGAAACACTTACCTACAATTAACCACTCAAAAACCTAAGTGGAGCTGTGGCTCAAGTTATGAAGCAGTTGCCTTGAGCACAGAGCACAAAGAGGCTCAAGGACAGTGCGCAGGCCCTGAGTTCAAGCCCCACAACTGACAAAAATAAAGCAAAGGTGCCTGAAAATAAAGATTATATTTTCAGGAAGAAGTAAATGAAAATTCTTTTTTTTTTTTTTTGGTCTGGTCATGGCGCCTGAACTCTGGGCCTGGGCGCTGTCCCTCAGCTCTTCAGCTCAAGGCTAGCGCTCTACCACTTGAGCGTCACTTCAGGCTTTTTTTCTTTTTGCTTATGTGGTGCTGAGTAATTGAACCCAGGGCCTTTGGCATGCAAGGCATGCGCTCTACCACTGAGCCACCTTCCCAGCCCTGAAAATTTATTCTTTAGACCAAAATAACTTATGTCTACTCAGTGGCACACAGGCATAAATGGGCTCCTTGAATCTACCTTAAAAGAAAGTTACCATAAAACAGCTGGAGGAGCCACCTTAAGTTTTAGTTAATGGAAGTTTTAGATAATTACTCTCTTCTATCTGAATGTTAGTACTGTGATATCACTCAAAGTACAAGAAAAGGAATAACACTATTTAATTAATTTATTTCCTTTTTGGTCAGTGATAGGGCTTGAACTCAGGGCCTGTGCTCCTTTGCTCAAGGCTAGCATTCTACCACGTTGAGCCACAGCTCCACTTCTGGCTTTTTGATGGTTAATTGGAAATAAGAGTCTCACCGACTTTTCTGCCCCTGCTGGCTTTGAACCATGATTCTCAGATCTCAGCATCCTGAGTACCTAGGATTACAGGCATGAGCCACCATCACCTAGCATGTATGTTATTTGCATACTGAAAACATTCATACTTAGTAATTACACAAAGTGTTTTTATGGAGTATCCTTAAGAATACCACTATATGCAATAAACCATAATCCATCTATGGCATTAGAAATATAAGGCACAGGGGAGGGTGGAGGGGGGGGTTGGGTGGGGGGGCAGGGGGAGGCTGGGAAGGGATGTGAAGGGTAAACAAAGGAGGAGGATGCAATGCTTGATAAGAAATGTAATTGTAACCCCTCTGTACAAAAAATTTAAATTAAAAAAAAATAAAAAAATAAAAAAAATTAAAAAAAAAGAAATGTAAGGCACAATGGTCAGACACCAATTAAAATTAGCAAAACTAAAACCAACATAGAATAAACCTTCTACAACAAACCTGTTACTTTTGTGAGCACATCCTAGGAAAGTATTCCCACTAAGCTATAGCCCCAACTGGAGTTATGAAACTTCTAATAGGGGCTAAAGTTCTTTGGTGTTCAAATATATTTAGCTTTTATAGTCAATGTCTGTGTGTATTCATGTATAGAAACAGAGACAAGCGGGCACTGGTGGCTCACGCCTGTAATCCTAGCTACTCACGAGGCTGAGATCTGAGAATCACGGTTCAAAACCAGCCAGAGCAGGAAAGTCCGTGAGACTCTTATCTCCAATAAACAACTAGAAAACTGGAAGTGGCACTGTAGCTCAAGCGGTAGAGCACTCACCATGAGCTGAAGAGCTGAGGGACGGCGCCCAAGCCCAGAGTTCAAGCCCTACAACCGACACACACAAAAAAAAAAAAAGGGAAAGAAACAGAGACAAGCACATACATAACACACAACGCCTCAAACTAGAATACATCAAGTTTTTTAATATATACCTGGAAAAGAGCCATACTGAGACCCTGCTTGTCGTCTGGCCTCTTCTTCCTGTAAGTACAAAAAGAAAATTATATAATAGGAAAAAGACAGTCTCCTATTTGCCCCTATTCAATCATGTAAATTCATGAAAAAATAACATAGGAAAGTAGAGCACTTAAAAGAACAAGTTTCATATGTCCCTAAACCATCCATCTACCCCAGAATTAAAACATTTTTTCAACTTCAGTCTCATGAAGAATTATTTTTTCTAATTAAATTCAAATGTTCTGCTTCTCTGGAAAACGAATGAACCTAGAAAAGCAATTTATAGTACTATAGGTATATGTTTATCAAAACTAGAAATCCTGGGCTGGGAATGTGGCTTAGTGGTAGAGTGCTTGCCCAACATGCATGAAGCCCCGGGTTCCATTCCTCAGTACCACATAAAACAGAAAAAGCTGAAGTGGCGCTATGGCTCTAGTGGTAGAGTGCTAACTTTGAGCTGAAGAGCTGAAGGACCGCGCCCAGGCCCTGAGTTCAAGACCCACAAGCAGTTCTAACTCTCTTTGTATTGTTTTTTGTTTTTGTTAGTTGTGGGGCCTGAACTCTGGGCCTGGGCACTGTCCCTGAGCTCTTCAGCTCAAGGCCAGCATTCTAACGCTTGAGCCACAACACCACTTCCAGCATTTTTCTGCTTATGTGGTACTGGGGAATCAAACCCAGGGCCTTATGCATTCAAGGCAAGCACTGTACCACTGAGCCAACTTCCCAGACAGTTTTTTTGGTTGTTGTTGGTCATGTGGCCTGAACTCTGGGCCTGAGCGCTGTCACTCAGCTCTTCAGCTCAAGGCCAGCGCTCTACCACTTGAGCCATAGCCTTCCATTTTCTGGTGGTTTACTGGAGATAAGAGTTTTACCTACTTTCCTGCCCAGGCTGGCTTTGAACCGTGATCCTCAGATCTCAGCCTCCTTAGCAGCTAGAATTACAGGCATGAGCCACAAGTGCCCGGCCCAGCCCCAAATTTTTTAAGTACTAGAGTGTGTCATTCTACAGAACTATAACTGTCATTAAATAGAGAAACTAGTAGGAGTTATGAATTACAGTAGTATGCTAACTCTATTGTATTTTCCTCTCATGAATTAAAAGAGAGAAACTTTACCCTCTGGGCTCGCTCATGTTCTTCTCGAGCCTTCTTAACCCTCTCTATTCTTTCTTTAATCTCTCGCTCTTCACGTTTTCGCTCATACTTTCTCCGGTGCTCAGCAATTTTCTGGGCCTAGAAAAAAGAGCCAAAGAAAAGTAAGTCTGCTCCAAACGTTTGATGACAGTCAAAATAAAAAGTATTGTTACAAGTTACTTTTCCTTGCAAAGAATGGTTCAATATAATTCTGAAAAATGACAGATTTACATTGCTGCCTAAGGCACTATGAAAGAGGGAACAGTAAGGGATATACAACTATTATTTCAAACTGACTAAGCTCAAGAACACTAAGAGGTTTTGAAGCAGATTTCTTACCTGATAGTTTCTACAGCTATAACTTTTAGGGTTCTGTCATAGCTGAAGTTTAACAACAAACTTACTGTTTTATTAACAAGTGTGCCATGAGAAAACAAAACTTCAGACCACACATGAAGTATTTGCCATCCTCTATATAAGTTTCTTCACTTATAAAATGGGGGAGATGACCAGCACTCAGTATTTTGATAGGGGAAAAAGGAGGGGGTATGGGGCTGGGAAGGTGGCTCAGTGGTAGAGCGCTTGCCTTGCATGCCTGAGGCCCTGGGTTCGATTCCTCAGCAACACATAAGCAAAAAGAAAAAGAAAAAAACCCGGAAGTGGCACTGTGGCTCAAGTGGTAGAGCGCTAGCCTTGAGCTGAAGAGCTGAGGGGCAGTGCCCAGGCCCAGAGTTCAAGCCCCACAACTGATTTAAAAAAAAAAAAAAAAAAAAAAAGACAGGGAAAAAACAAAGGAGGGGGGTAACAATGCTTGATAGGAAATGGACTCATTACATAGTTCATATCAACTGTACCCCTCTGTACAGTATCTTTACAACAAAAAAATATATAATAAAAAAGAAACCTTATAGCAGATTAAGTTAAATTCAATACAACTACATTAATTTCTTTGGAAGGAAATTCTTAGAAGTTTAATTTCCATTTTAAATAGAATCTTAAAACAATGCTCTTGTTTTTTGATTCAATAGTCTCAATTTTTAGAAGGCAATAATGGAAACAAAAAATTTTATACTTGAATTTCCCGTTAAGAGATCCTCATGATTTACTGAAGTGTTATATAAGAACTGACTAGATGTGTTCCTGGGCCACATTTTGTAGGTTTTCTATTTCTTTCCTTGTTGTAAACCTGTCATTTTTCCATTTCTGATTTTCTGGTTATAATTCCACTGCAGTCTTGCAAACAGTATCAGAGCTTGCTCTACTACAGCATGAGTATGATTTCTTCAATCATTAAAATTGAAATTCCAAATGTTTCTTTCCATGCTAATTAAAGCTGGCAGCCCTCCGTGCCAGAGCCATGGAGTCTTGGTAATCCCCTTCCTTCTCTAGTTCACATACCCTCGGTTGAACTTCTTTCAGCATTGCACTAGCATCATCATCATAATCCAGTTTACAGGCAAGGGCAAGATCATGGGCTGCTTCTTCCCAATGGCCCAGAAGTCTGAAATAGATTCAAACTCATTGTAAGAGTCTTTTATACATTCACTCTGTGTAGCATGGTGTCTTTCTTTCCATATGTAAAAAGGCATTATGACAGAAAAGGCTTGAGTTAATTATGAGTATAATTTGATAGGGAAGGTACTAGAGCTAAAGTCAGGGCCTTGTCCCTACACAAGCATTCTAACATCTGAGCCTCACTCCTAGCCCTTTTTATTTTTCAAATAGTATCTTACATTTTCACCTGTGACTGGCCTCAGACCATAATTCTCTCTTTCCTGGGATAACAGGTATGCACTAACATGACCAATTTGATAGTTAAGATGCAGTGTTGCTAACTTTTTGGCCAGGCTGTCCAAACAGAGATTCTCTGTGATGATCTCCACCTCTCAAGTATCTGAGACCACAGGTGCACACAACAATTACCATGCTCGGCTTAAATATTCATGAATACATTCCTATCTTAGCACAGTTTTGGTTAAGTCTATCAAAACATGATGTTGAAAATTGTCTATGGTAATTGTAAATATGTTCTCCTATTATCTTAAGAGTATCAAGATATTTTTTAAAGAGTGTTTTCAACTCGTCAAAGGAGGACTAAAATGCCACATACTTTTAAACTATTTTCTAAGAAAGACTAAAGAGAGCTACCATGTGTAACTGCTTTATTGAAAAGAGATTAAGTGAGGGAACTGGAGGTATAGCTCAGATTGTAGATGGCCACCATGAGTGAAAAAATGACTAAAATACTAAGAGGTGCAGGAAAGAGGGTTTGAGGGAAAAACAATGGGAATTCTCTGGTCATATTTTTAAGTCAGTTTTGACATTTCAAATTTTAAATCTTACAGTCAAAAAAATAAATCAGAAATGGAAATACAGCTGTCTTAAATCTGAATACTAACTAAAAGGCTAACAGTATATCATCATCAATAATACAATTATACAGAAAAAATAATTCAAATATTAATTTGAAAATACATTTTAAGATAATATCCTGAATAAGGACTTCTAAGAAAACCTCCAAACTTTAGACACTGTTAAGGTGCAACTATGAAATAATTTATCTTCTAGGTTTACACAAATAAATAGGGTCAAAGACTTTGAGTGTAGAAGAGAAGTATCAAAAATAAGAATGACAAAGAAAACATTAAATTTTAACTGAAAATATCAGCATAAACCCCATTTATTATCATTAAAATCGAAACATCAATTAACCACAGTATTTTCTCTCAGTTCTGTTCAACTGACAATAATGATATAACCATAAGCAATTAAAAATACTCTGCTGTCTGCACTGGACATTGATGAAAGTGAACTAAGCAACTCAAGGGCAGTGATGGGAGGGAGGGAATGAGAGAAAGAGGGAACAGCTTACACTGAGCAAAAGGAAAGAAATGTACATTATCACCTGATTTGGAAGAAATAGTTGTATTGTCAAAGTTTGTAGAGTTCACAAGATTTATAGACCATGATAATAACAATTCGGCTCATAAAGGTTAAAATGTGTTTGTGACTTTAGCTAAGTATCACTATTCCACAAGATTGTTCAATTTATGTCACTTAATCTCAAAAAAAATTTTTTTAAAAGTCCTACTGTCCAAAACCTAGTTTCTACTAAAATGAACCATGGCTTTTTGTAGAACTGACTCACTCTAAATCTATAACAAAAAAGTCTATGTCAGAAAGCAAAGCAAGGCTTAAAGATTAGCAGGATTTCAAAAGGACCAACAGCAATGTGTGAACTTCCTTATACCATGCAGCCTCAATGAATGTTATTTCAACTTTTCATTATGCTCTTTGCTGCATGCTTGTAAAAACCACTAGAGACACTTTCAGTCACATAATACAGGTGTCTCAAGGATATCCATCTTCATCTCAATCACAACAGCTCTGTAATCCATAAATGTCACTGACTTAATCCCCAAGACACATTCATTTGTGTAACAAAATTTTGCCACCAGGAATAATTAGTGGTCTGGGTAAAACTTGCCTCTGTATTTTGCAGATTTTTGAGTGGTTATAGTAGCAACTAATGTACTTTTGAGGCTATACTCCTTATATCATATACGAGTTGCTCAGTATTAGGAGTCTGAAAGAAAATTTCTGAACGACATTGGAATAAACTATTCTCTCCTTGAATTACGTGCTCTTTGAATGAAAGAGATAAAAACAAATTCTATTTCCTTAATTTCTTTTGCCACTTTTCATTTTGTATACAAAGCACATTATAATGATTAAATTTCAATATTTACCTGTGTGCTTTTCCTCGCCACTTATATGGCTGAGCAGAGTCAGGATTTATCTCAATGGCTCTGTCACAGTCTCGAATGGCAGCATTTGGCTTCTGTAATTTGATGAAGACACTAAAAAATAGATTTAAGAAAATTTACTTCACCGGGCGCCGGTGGCTCACCCCTGTAATCCTAGCTACTCAGGAGGCTGAGATCTGAGGATCACGGTTCAAAGCCAGCCCAGGCAGGAAAGACCGTGAGACTCCTATCTCCAAAAAACCACTAGAAAACCAGAAGTGGCGCTGTAGCTCAAGGGGTAGAACGCTCGCCTTGAGCTGAAGAGCTGAGGGACAGCGCCCAGGTCCGGAGTTCAAGCCCCATGACCGACAAAAAAAAAGAAAACTTACTTCGATGGGAGGGAAGGAGGGAGGGAATGAGAGGGAAAGAGGAACAACTTATACTAAACAAAAGTAAAGAAATGAACATATCACCTGATATGGAATAGTTTTACTGTCAAAACTCATAGAATTTACAAAACTTATAGACCATGACAATGTCAATTTGCTTCATGAAGGTTACAATGTGTTTGTGACTTTAACTAAATATCACTATCTCAATACTGTGAAATTTATGAAATTTATGCAATTACTTAAACACAATAAAAAAATTATTGAAAAAAAAAAAAAGAAAATTTACTCCAAATAATAAAACCTTTGAGAACACTAAGGAAGCAATTTTTATTTTATTTTTTGCCAGTCCTGGGGCTTGAAGTATGAGCCTAGGTACAGTCCCTGAGCCCATTTTGCTCAAGGCAAGCGTTCTACCACTTGACCCACAGCACCACTTCTGGCTCTTTCTGTGATTCATTAGAGAAAAGAGTCTCATGGGTTTTTCCTGCACAGACTGGCTTTGAACTGCAATCCTCAGATCTCAGCCTCCTGAATAGTTAGGATCACAGGCTTGAGACATTGGTGCCCAGCCCAAAGCAAGCATTGGGGGGAATCCTAGTGGCTTGGTGTTGTTCCTAAACTTTTTTTGCTTAGGAGCTGGGAAGGTAGCTCAGTGGTAGAGTGCTTGCCCTTGCATGCAAGAGGCCCTGGGTTCAATTCCTCAGCACCACATAAGCAGAAATAGCCGGAAGTGGTGCTGTGGCTCAAGTGGTAGAGTGCTAGCCATGAGCTGAAGAGCTGAGGGACAGCGCCTAGGCCCAGAGTTCAGGCCCCATGACCGACCAAAAAAAAAAAAGACAAACTTTTTTTGCTTACAGCTAGAGCTCTACCATTTGAGCCACCACTTATATCTTTTGGTGATTAATTGGAGATAAGAGTGCTCACCTTGAGCTAAAGAGCTGAGGGATAGCGCCCAAGCCCAGAGTTCAAGCCCCATGACCGACCCAAAAAAAACCCCAGCCCTGCCTGGGCTAGGTTTGAACTGCAACCCTTAGATCTCAGCCACCTGAATAGCTAGGATTTTAGGCATCAACCACTGACACCCAGTGAAAGATGTTTTTAAACAAATAAGTACAAATTACTCCAAAGGAATAAATTTAAACTTTTCAGTTTAAGAGTATTTGCCTAGCTGGGCACCAATAGCTCACAAGAGTCCAGGCATGGAAGTCCATGAGACTTTTAGCTCCTATTAATCATCAAAAATCTGTAAGTGGAGCTGAGGCTTAAGTGGGAGAGTGTTAAAGAAACTCAGGGACAGGCACTGGGAAGGTGGCTCAGTGGTAAAGTGCTTCCCCTGCATGCATGGGGCCCTCAGTTCAATTCCTCAGCACCACATAAGCAGAAAGGCCAGAAGTGGGGCTGAGGCTCAAGTGGTAGCGCGCTGGTCTACAGCTGAAGAGCTGGGGGACAGTGCCCAGGCCGAGTTCAGGCCCCACAAGCGACAAAAAAAAAAAGAAAAAAGCTCAGGGACAACATCAGGCCCTGAGTTCAAAAATAAACAAGTAAAAGTGCTTACCTGGCCCTCTTGGCATACAGAATGGCCAAGCGAGGGTTTAGCTTGATGGCATCTGTGAACAAGTCGATAGCTCTCTGTAGCTGACCTAAAGTGAAATAAGAGCTACTGAGAAATACTCAGAGGACAGGACAAAAATATTAATATTTTGATCTCTTACCCATCCAAAAAAAGTCTTTTATTTATTCTTCTTTAAGTCCAGCTAGTACTGGTATTGGGTGGAATATACACAACTCAGTAGTAGAGCACTTGCTTATTAACAAGTTTAGTTTCTAGCACCATTAAAAAAAAAATTAAATGGTGCTAGGTCTGGTGACTCCTACCTGTAAACTTTACTTGGGAGGCAGAAATAGGAGACTCCTGGTGAGAAGATAGTTCAGCCAACAAAAGACCCTATATTTCAAAGAACAAGCCACGTGAGAAGACACATGCCTATAATCCCAATAATACAAAATAGATAGGCGAACAGATCTTTGACTGGGAAAGAGACCCTTAATGTGAAAAAAATAAAGCAAAAAGGGCTGAAGGTGTGGCTCTTATCCACCAAACCCTAACAAAAAAACCAACATACATATAAAAACCATCAGTTTTTCACTAAAAATAACACAAAAACACACACATATATTTTTGAATGTATAAGAATGGAAGAGTGGCCAGGCACCGGTGGCTCACACCTATAATCCTAGCTACTGAGAAGGCTGAGATCTGAGGATCACGGTTCAAAGCCAGCCCGAGCAAGGAAAGTCTGAGAGACTCTTATCTCCAATAAACTACTCGAAAACTGGAAGTGGTGCTATGGCTCCAAGTGGTAGAGCGCTTGCCTTGAGCTGAAGAGCTGAGGGACTGTGCCCAAGCTGAGTTCAAGCCCCACGACCAACAACAAAAACAAAAACAAAAAAAGAATGGAAGAGCAGCTCAAGTGATAAAATACCTGCCTAGCAGAAGTGTAACAAAACAGTTCTCTCCACGTCTACAATCCTAACTACTCAAGAGCCTGAGATCTGAGGATCAAGGTTCAAAGCCAGTCCTGGAAGGAAAATCCATGAGAATCTTATCCCCAGTTAACCACCAGAAAACTATAAGTGGTGCTGTGGTGCAAAGTGGTAGAGCACCAGCTTTGAGCAAAAGAGCTCAGGGACAGCACACAGGCCCTGAGTTCAAGCCCCACTTCTGACAAAAAAAAAAAAGGGGGGGGCCGGGAAGGTGGCTCAGTGGTAGAGTGCTTGCCTTGCATGCATGAGGCCCTGGGTTCGATTCCTCAGCACCACATAAGCAAAAAGAAAACAGCCGGACGTGGTGCTGTGGCTCAAGTGGTAGAGCGCTAGCCTTGAGCTGAAGAGCTGAGGGACAGCGCCCAGGCCCAGAGTTCAGGCCTCACAACTGACCAAAAAAAAATGGGGCTGGGAATGTGGCTTAGTGGTAGAGTACCTGCCTAACAAGCATGAAGCCCTGTTATTCCTCAGTACCACATAAACAGAAAAAGCCAGAAGTGGTGCCTTGGCCCAAGTGGTACCCAGGCCCTAAGGTCATGCCCCAGGACTGGCAACAACAACAACAAAAAATGCAGTTCTTGCCAGCTATCAGTGGCTCACTCATACCTGTAATCCTGGCTACTCAGGCGACTAGGATCTAAGGAGGGCAGTTCCAAGCCAGTCTGGGCATGAAAGTTCATGAGAATCATCTCTAATTAACCACCGAAATGTAAGAATAGGAGCTGTGACTACAGCACTATCCTTCAGCAAAAAAAGCTAAGAGACAGCACCTAGACCTGGAGTTCATGCTCCAAGAAGCGGGGAGAGGTGGCAGGGGTAGGAAGAGAAGGGGGGGGGGGGGGGACAGTTCTTAGAAAAATAATCCACAGAGAAGAAACAAGAGTCTAGAAAAGGAAAGTCAGTATTTCAAACCATGCACTGTAAACACTATAAATAAACACAAGAAAAGGACCTAAACTATAAAGGTGGTTGGATAAACTAAGCATATTGCACACCCTTCAATTTCAGCACTCCTGAGGCTGAAGAAGGATCACTGAGCTCCATAGTGAGACCCTGCCGAGGAAGAAAAGAACAAGGCAGGAAGAAGGAAGAGGAAGAAGGAAAAAGGAAGAAGGAAGAAAGAGGTGATAGGATTACAAGAAATAGAAGTCCAACAGCCAACCAGGGACAGTAAATACTGAACTCATTCTAAAAGAAAAACTTCGTCATCTTCTAAATCAATGCATGAGTTGTCTGAATGCACAACAGCATGTGACAACACTATTTAATATGACATCCATACCACCAGTTATAAAGAAGAGGCATGCATGAAATTCTACATAGTCATAGCACCCAAGTTTATAGTAAATTGTTCATACAAATTATGAATTATTATACTTAATACTAATCTCATTTCTGACAAGACTTTCTCAACTTGAAAAGACTAAAGTATGATGTTATGCTTATGAACACCATCTGTGAAAAATGTAAAAAGTTAAAGAAGTCCACAATTATTGTTTTGGAAAGTCTTTCACCTGTTTAAAGTTTCTCACCAGATAAAGACCAAGACACTCTGAAAAGCAGTTTTGAGTAGATCAGATATGTTCGTGCTCTAAGGGTACTGATCTCATACCTATGATCCTACCTACTCAGGAGGCTAAAGATCTATGGAAAAAGGTTGGAAAGCCAGTTCTTGTGGGACTCATCTCCAATTAACCACTCAAAAACCAGGAGTGGAGTTGTGGCTCAAAGTGATAGTGCAAGCCTTGAGCAAAAGAGCTCAGAGACAGAGCCCAGGCCCTAAGTTCAAGCCCACAACCAACCAAAAATAACAACAACCAACCACAATTTCACCCTCTTTATCAATCAGGAAGTACTGTCTGGATAGTGAGACACTATATTCACCAACACAGTAATAAGTCTAAGGTCTCTTCAACTTCTCTAGTCACTGCAATAGGAAGAAAATATTCATATTACTATAGAAATGTTGCAAGGAGTAAAATATGAAAACACTCACCATCATTTAGTGCTTCAATGGCAGCACCTTTCTTTTCATTTGCTTGATCCATCATCTCCTCAGTTACCTAACAGGATATAGAAATTTACCTGTAAGACTTACCTAGAAGATTATTTGTCTATAAAATGTATCTATAAAATTTATCTAGGGGGCTGGGAAGGTGGCTCAGTGGTAGAGTGCTTGCCTTGCATGCCTGAGGCCCTGGGTTCGATTCCTCAGCACCACATAAGCAAAAAGAAGAAAGCCAGAAGTGGCACTGCTTATTCTTTATGTGTGGTAATCTCTCTTTTTCAAGAAAATCAAAAGGAGGGGGAATATAACTTCAATACACCATTAGTTTAGGCAATTAATTTTTTTTGAAAGATAGCAAAGCCCATACAAAATTTGGAGACATGGGAACATTCAAATGGTAACTCTCTAGAGACAGATCTTGTATTTCTATGCACTGCCATTTAGATAGGATATCCTCCTTGCCTACCACATACTCTCTGGCTGAGACAAAGCAAGGGATTCCAATTGCTCTGTATTAAACATCTTATTGCATGAGTCCTGTGTTTCTTAATGTAATTTTACTTTGCCCTTTTGATGGAAGTCTTACGTGCTTCAACTCCTTCTCTGATTCATTAAGTTTTGTGCTATTTTGGATAAGATATTGTTCAGCTGAAGAGCTGAGGGACAGCGCCCAGGCCCAGAGTTCAGGCCCCATGACCGGACCCCCTCCCCCCCCCAAAAAAAATTTTATCTAGGTTATCTTAGAAAAGAAAGCAGCAATCTGAATTTCCTTAGGAATAAAGTAGTCAAACCCCAATACTTCTTTATGCTTCTCTAGTCTTCAGAAAGACAACAATCACAGTAACTGATTTGTTTAAAAATACAGATTAAGGTTTTTTTGTTTTGTTAGGCCTTTTTTGCAGGGCCTGGGGCTTGAACTCAGGGCTTAGGCTCTGTCCCTGAGCCTCTCTGTGCTCAAAACTAGCATTCTACCACTGGAGCCACAGCACCAATTCCAGCTTTTTCTGTTTATGTGGCACTGAGGAAGTGAACCCGGGTTCATGCATGCTAGGCAAGCAGTCTATTATCAGTAAACCACCTTCCCAGCCCAAATTAAGTTTTAACCTTTAATACCAAGTCTCACTTCCCAATCTGCCTATCTTCTACTGATCTTTCCATCTCCTTGATAACTACTCATAAACATTAGGCACATTCTCACCACCAAGTAGTGCTTCTTACACTTGAATCTTCAGAGATAAATGTCTCATTCTTTTACTAATACAAAAATAGCACCTATACTATACAGCAAAAGTAACGAACTCTCTTTACATGTATATACAAACAGGCCAAGCTGAGGTGGCTCACTCCTGTAGTCCTAGTTATTCAGAATCTAAGACCTGAGGATCACAATTCGAAGCCCACCCAGGCAGGCAAGTTCAAGAGATTCCTATCATCAATTAACCACCAAAAAGCAAGAACTGGAGTTTTGATTCTAACAGTAGAGCAAAAGAGCTCAGGCCCTGAGTTCAAATTGCAAGACCAGTACCAAAAAAAAACAAAAAACAAACCTGTTTGCAATGTTCCAACACATGAGCAAAAGTCAATTATAAAATGGAATAGCCAGGCATTGGTAGCTCACGCCTGTAATCCTAACTATACAGGAGGCTGAGATCTCAGGATTGCAGTGCAAAGCCAGCCCTGGCAGGAAAGGCTGAGAGACTCTTATCTCCAATAAACCACTCAGAAAACTGGAAGTGCTGCTGTGGCTCAAGTGGTAGAGTGCTCACCTTGAGCGGAAGAGCTCAGGGATAGTGCCCAAGCCCAGAGTTCAAGCCCCACAACTTCCCCCTCCCCCTCCAAAACAAGGAACAATATCTTATCCAAAATAGCACAAAACTTTATGAATCAGAGAAGGAGTTGAAGCAGTAAGACTTCCATCAAAAGGGCAAAGTAAAATTACATTAAGAAACATAGGACTCACGCAATAAGATGTTTAATACAGAGCAACTGGAATCCCTTGCTTTGTCTCAGCCAGAGAGTATGTGGTAGGCAAGGAGGATTTCCTATCTAAATGGCAGCGCATAGAAATACAAGATCTGTCTCTAGAGAGTTACCAGTAGCTGAAATTTCAATGTTCCCATGTCTCCAAATTTTGTATGGGCTTTGCTGTCTTTCAAAAAAAAATTAATTGCCTAAACTAATGGTGTATTGAAGTTATACCCCCCCTCCTTTTGATTTTCTTGAAAAAGAGAGATTACCACACATAAAGAATAAACATTCTATGCAAAGGGACAGGGAGTATTAAGTGCACTTACTTCAAATGTATTAGGAGGAATTCCCTTGTGTGGTTCTAGAGTAAGTGTTTATAGAAGCCAGGCACTGATGGCTCATGCTTATAATCCCAGCTACTCAGGAGGATCACAGTTTGAAGCCAGCTTGGCAGAAGTCTTCAATTAATGAACAAAATGCTGGACTGAAAGCATGGCTCAAATGGTAGAGTGCCAGCCACGAGCAAAAAAAAAAATCAAGAGCAAGAAGCCCTGAGTTCAAGCCTCCTGGTACCAGCATAAAACACAACAAAAGCATATGGGCTGCTATTCAAGATTTCCAAATGTTATCATTATTAGCAACTGATATGCAAACATATTTTGCCTGATGGTATTTAGTTTACTGACTTCTGGCTGACTCAGCATACATTATATAAAATAGACTTACAAGGATTACTATCAGTCACAAATGTTGAAGTTTTTGACAGCTCTGTTTCCTCAAAAAGGAAGTTTTTCCTTTTCCCTGTGACTCCTGGTAAATAATCCTCAAGACTTAAACATTTGTAGTCTTATGATCGTATCAATATTTAACAGTATAATGATAACGGTTTTTGCATATGAGGGAGGAATTTGTTTTTTGAGACAGGATCTGACTATGTAGCCCAGGCTTTACTATAAGTTACCATCCTGCCTCAAGCCCCGAGTCTTGGGATTACAGGCATATACCACTGCACCCAGCTAAACAAATATCCAGAAGATCTCTGATATAATCTGCTGTACAAACCAAATGCATATGTAATCTCTTAGATGACAATGTAGTAATTTGCTTTTCTGAAAATAAAATGAAATGGAAAAAAAAAAAAAAAGAAACACAGGACTGGGAATGTGGCTCAGTGGTAGAGTGCATACCTACCATGCACAAAGTAATGGGTTCCATTCCTCAGTACCACATAAACAGAAAAAGCCGAAAGTAGCACTGTGGCTCAAGTGGTAGAGCACTAGCCTTGAGTAAAACAAGCTCAGGGACAGTGCCCAAGCCCTGAGTTCAAGCCCAAGAACTGGCAAAAAACAATGTTGGAAATTAGAGCCAAAAAAAGTATGAAAAAACTTATTGGTAGCCATAAGGAAACAAGCTCTAATAGCTATGAGGTGGTGTCTGATACCTATAATCCTAACTATTCAGGAAGCTAAGATCTAGAGGATCACGGCAAGAAGTTCACAATACTCCATCTCAACCAATAGGTGGTTGAGGTGGTTCATGTCTGACTTCCCAGCTGTGAGGGAAGTTGAGATTTGGAGGATTGTGGTTTCAGGCCAAACAGCAAAGTTAAATTTGCAAGACTCCAACTCAACAGCAAAACATGGGGGGTGGTAGCCTGTGCTAGTTACCCCAGCTACAGTGAGAGCATAAAGAGGAGGATCATGATTCGGGGTGGCCTGTGCAAAAAGTAAGACACATATTTTAAAAATAACCAGAGTATGAGTATGGTCTCCTACTTTTTTTTTTTCTCCCAGCCCTGGGGTCTAAACTCAGCACCTAGGGACTGTCCTTGGGCTTCTTTTGTTCAAGGCTAGCACTGTACCACTTGAGTCACAGCGCCATTTTCAGTTTTCCAGTGGTTAACTAGAGAAATGAGTCTCAGGGACTTCGCTGTGTCGGCTGGCTTTGAACTTCGATCTTCAGATAGCAGCCTCCTGAGTAGCTAGGATTATAGGTGTGAGCCACCAGCACGAGGCTTCTCTAACTCATCTCCAGCAAATTACTCAGAAAAAGCCGTAAGTGAAGCTATGGCCTAAGTGTTAGAGCATTAGCCTTGAGCAAAAGAAGCTCAGGGACAGTGTGTAGGCCCTGAGCGCAAGCCCCAGGACTGGCAAAGAAAAAAAAAAAAAATCTTTCTCTGATTCAATAGACCAGCATTTTATTATACTATCTAAAGTACCTGTGAAAATCTTACATTATTATTATTTTACTTTTTGTGCCAGTCTTGAAGTTTGAACTCAGGGTCTACACTTTGCCACTTAAGCTACAAAACCGCCTCTAGCTTTTTCTGTTTATGTGGTACTAAGGAATTGAACCAAGAACATCATACATGCTAGGGAAGCACTCTTACCACTAAGCCCCATTCCCAGACCCCCAGAGAAAGATTTAGTATATTCTTTTTCTAGAAATGTCACAAAATGATACCAACAACAAGAAGCATTTAGAACAAACAGAAAATAAGTCATGAAACTTACCTCTACATTTTCATCTCCCATTTCTTGGGGGGCATCAGTGTCTGGTTCAATTACACCTTCATTATCAATTTCTATCAAAGTTGAAAACAGTAAGTCATCATTGTACAATACAGTAGCCACTAACCAGAGGACTTGGATATGATTATAACTGTCAGAGGATTTACATCAGTGGTAGAATACCTGCCTAATTTGCTACGCAGTCCAGGGTCTGACAAACAGCACCTCAACAAGAACTCATGTGATTTTTGGTCAGTATACCTATGAGTTGAATGCTTTATATTGTAAAAAGCTTCCCCTTTAAACACAATTCTTTGTTTGGGTAAAACTACCACTAAAAGCTGGGTGCAAAAAAAAAAAACACAAAAAACAAAAAACAAATTACTACTTAAACCATCACACTGAGATAATAGCAGTAACATTGTTGATGTATGCAAATGTCCTATCTGAATTAAAGAAGATACTATATATGTAAAATATGCTCTCTTTTGGGTTTTTTTGTTGCTGTTTTTTTTTTGCCTTTGTCGGTCATGGGGCTTGAACTCAGGGCCTGGGCACTGTCCCTTAGCTCTTTTGCTCAAGACTAATGCTCAACTGCTTTGAGTCAATGCTCTACTTCCAGTTTTCTGATGGCTAATTAGAGAAGAGTCTCATGGTTTTGAATCTTGATCCTCATCTCAGCCTCCTGAGTACCTAGGATTATAGGCATGAGCTACCAACATCTAGCAATGCTCAGACTCAATATGGTTTTTTTATTTTAAAAAAAGAGGTAAGCCAGGCGCCGGTGGCTCAGGCCTGTAATCCTAGCAACTCAGGAGGCTGAGATCTGAGGATCATGGTTCAAAGCCAGCCAGGGCAGGAAAGTTCATGAGACTCTTATCTCCAATAAACCGCTAGAAAACCAGACGTGGTGCTGTGGCTCAAGCGGTAGAGCACTCGCCTTGAGCTGAAGAGCACAGGGACAGCGCCCAAGCCCAGAGTTCAAGCCCCACGATCAACAACAACAAAAAAAGGAGGTAGCCGGGTGCCAGTGGCTCACACCTGTAATCCTAGCTACTCAGGAGGCTTAGGTTGAGGATCATAGTTGGAAGCCAGTCTGGGCAGAAAAGTCTCCATGAGACTCTTATCTTCAATTAACCCCTCAAAAACCATAAGTGGCTCTGTGGGCTCAAAGTGGTAAAGTGCTAGACTTGAGCCAGAGTTCAAGGACAGTGCCCAGGCCCTGAGTTAAAGCTACACAACCAACAGAAAAAAAAAAAGAGGAGAAAAATATCTAATTTTTTTTTACAGTGATTACATGAATGACATTGTGAAACTGTATTGAAGAATCAACATGGGATGTTTTAACCAGATTATCCAATACAAACTACTGTCTGTCTGCTCACCTAGGTCGCTTTCCTCACTGGGTGGCTCCTCTGTTGGTATGTTTTCCTCTGTCTTCTTACTATCTGCTTTTTCTTCCTAGCAAGAGGAAGGCAAACAGTGCAATCAGTATTTAATAACATATGGAACATAACTTTTACAAATTAACTACTCCCATACATTAGATTTCAGTTGTTAATGTTCCATTGTTTCATTCTAGAAAGCTAATTTGTTATTTTGTTTTCATTTTCCCCTTTTAATTTACAGATCTAGTCCCTTATCTAAACCCTTAGAATAATATATTTTAGAACTTAATTTTTTTTTTAGACTTTATAAAGTAAGCTCAATGTCTATATCACAGTGGTAGAGGGCTAGCCTTGAGTACAAAGATGTTCAGAGACAGAGCCAAGACCCTGCGTTCAAGCTCCCACACCTCACAACAACAACAACAAAATACTCATGATTAGTGGCAAAAAAGCTATTAAGAGCCTAGCAAAGTGGTAACAATCTATACTCCAAGCATCCAGTAAGCTGAGACAAAAGAGCTGCTTGAGCCCAGAGTCTGAGGCAAGCCTAGGCAACAGTGTCCCAAAGGATGGTTTAAAAAGAAAATACAAACAGCCTCATGTCTAGTCAGATCATGCTTTACTGCAAAATTTACTAAGTAAGCTAGGCGCCGGTGGCTCATGCCTGTAATCCTAGCTACTCAGGAGGCTGAGATCTGAGGATCCCAGTTCAGTCACCCCGGGCAGGAAAGTCAGTGAGATTCTTTCTCCAATAAACCACTAGTAGAAACCAGAAGTGGCTCTGTGGCTCAGTGGTAGAGCACTCGCCTTGAGCTGAAGAGCTGAGGGGACAGCACCCAGGCCTCAAGTTCAAGCCCCATGACTGATAGGGGAAAAAAAAAATTATTAAGCATTTATTTTACTTTTCAAGGGCTTTTCAGTTTTGGAATTACATGTAGAACTATAATAGACGACAAAATTCAAAGAATTTAAAAGTGCATGTGTAAATGGAAATTTCTTTGTACAAGTACTTGAATAAGAATTTTTAAATGAATATGACATATAAAATTAATGTATTCGGATGTGCATGCAATAGCTCTACAAGTTGCCATTTCCATTTAACAATGCTATGTGGGGATTGTGTATATAGTTTAGTGGTAAAGCGCTTGCCTAATATGTGCAGAGCCTTGGATTAATCCCTGCGACCATGCTAAAACAGGGAACCCACTAAAGTAAACTATATAAATAAACAAATAGGGTCACAGCTTTTGGGGCTTTGCTTAACACACTTATAAAACTTCTACTTTCTTACCCAAATAACAATAAATCACATGAAAGGTTCTAATCAAAATAAATAGCTACGGGCTGGGAAGGTGGCTCAGTGGTAGAGTGCTTGCCTTGCATGCATGAGGCCCTGGGTTCAATTCCTCAGCACCACATAAGCAAAAAGAAAAAAAGCCGGAAGTGGCGCTGTGGTTCAAGTGGTAGAGCACTAGCCTTGAGCTGAGGGACAGTGCCCAGGCCCAGAGTTCAGGCACCAAGACCGGACTTGCCCCCCCCACCCCCCCCATCCCCCATCCCCCCCCCCCCCCATCCCACAAAAAAAAAAAAAAAAGCTAATTGGTGCCAGGCCCAGTGGCTCATGCCTGTAATCCTAGCTACTCAGGAGGCTGAGATCTGAGGATTATGGTTCAAAGCCAATCCGGACAGGAAACTCCGTGAAACTCTTATCTCCAATAAGGCACTGTAGCTCAAGTGTAGAGTGCTGGCCTTGAGTTGAAGAGCTGAGGAGCTAAGGGACAGCGCCCAGGCCTAGAGTTCAAGTCTCACAATTGACCAAAAAACAAAAAAAAAACCAAAGCTAATTGGAATATAGACAAAAAGTAGGAAAAACAAAAAATACTGGAGGCTGGCCTGTAATCCTAGCTACCCAGGAGGCTGAGATCTGAGGATCATGGTTCGAAGCCAGCCTGGGCAGGAAAGTCTATGAGACTACTACTCAGAAAAAGCCAGAAGTAGCACTGTGGCTCAGGTGGTAGAAGACTAGCCTTAAGACAAAGAAGGTCAGGGACAGCACCTAGGCCCAGGGTTCAAGCCCCACAAAGAGTACAGAAAAAAAGAAAGAAAGAAATGTATTATTTGGGTTTGGGATATAGCTCAGTGGTTGAGTACTGGCATAGCATACACAGACCGAGTTCAATCCCCAGGACCAAAAACTCCAAAGCTAAACAGGTAACAATAAAGAATCATAGCCCTTCTGCCCTTCCATCTTAAAAAAAGAAATGTTTTATTATTTTATCACTAAGTAGAAGAAATTTAGAAACTTACCCTGATATTGTCTTCTGATTTAGCTTTATGAGTAGCTGGTGGTACTTTACCCCCCATGCTTGAGGAAAATAAGAAAAAAAGATTTGTTTAGAAAATATTCAGTCAAGTAACATTCATGATTCCACGGCTTCTCTGTCCCCATTCCTACAGAAAGAAAATGCCAGAAATATGTATTAACAAAAATATTCACAACTTACTAAAATTTAGATTTGAGTAGATATATTTAAGAGATTTGACATTTAGCAAGATTCCTTGAAGTAGGAGTCTCCAGGGTAACACTTACCTTAGTGGCACAGAAATTGGCATATACAGACTATGAGGACCTTGAAAACCCTTCTTTTCCAAACAGTCCAATATAACATAAATTATATTTAAGTGAAAAGTATAACATCAACAAAAAAGACGACACATTAGTATGTTCCATTTGGTGTAGTCCCTGGAGCATGTAGTTTGTATGTCACAGTTCAGTGACTGAGATGTTTCGAGGATTTAATGACAAAAAATAGTAAATATGGGCTGGGAAGGTGGCTCAGTGGTAGAGTGCTTGCCTCGCATGCAAGAGGCCCTGGGTTCAATTCCTCAGTACCACATAAACAGAAAAGCTGGAAGTAGTGCTATGGCTCAAGTAGTAGAGTGCTAGAGAGCAAAAGAGCTCAGGGACAGTGCCTAAGCCCTGAGTTCCAGCCGTAGGACTGGCAAAAAAAAAAATAAGTAACAGCTCCACTTCCGGTTTTTGAGTGGTTAATTAGAGGTAAGAGTTTCACAGGGACTTTTCCTCCCAGGCTGCCTTGGAATTTTAATTTTCAGATCTCAACCTCCTGAGTAGCTAGGATTACAGGTGTGAACCACCAGCACCCAGCTAAATGTTTTAAAAGTTTTCACGAAATACCAAGGATATTAATTTAAAAAACAGAAAGAAACCTATTCCAAACATCCTTAAAATGCTGATTCTTTTCTAACTAGACAATTGTTATGCTCAAATTAAGTAAAATTTGTAAACAAAGTTTATATCTGAGTTAAAATGGAATGGATATCTATTTTCCAAAGTTCTTTTTTACCAATTTCAGTATCAACAGTTTTCAGAATCATAGTTGTTTAACACCTTGGCCAACATTTAGCTACTGTCCACTCATACAATTTTTTTGTTGGCCATAGGCTTGAACTCTGGGCCTTGGTGCTGTCCCTGAGCTCTTCAGCTCAAGGTGCACTCTACCACTTGAGCCACAGTTACCACTTCTGGTTTTCTGGAGGTTAATTGGAGATGAGTCTCAAGGACTTTCCTGCCTGGGCTGGCTTTGAACTGCGATCCTCTGATCTCAGCCTCCTGAGTAGCTAGGATTTCAGGCGTAAGCCACTGGCGCCCGGTTTCTACAATTTTTTGTTTGTTTGTTTTTGCTGGTCATGGGGCCTGCACTATGGGTCTGGGGTCTGTCCCTCAGCTCTTCAGCTCAACGCTAGCACTCTACCACTTCAGCCACAGCTCTACTTCCGGCTTTTCCGGCTTATGTGGGGCTGAGGAATCAAACCCAGGGCCTCATGCATGCAAGGTAAGCACTCAACCACTGAACCACCTTCCCAGCCCTCTACAATTTTTTTTAACTGTATTTTTTTTCCTTCCTTCCTTCCTTCTTACCTTCCTTCCTTCTTTCCTCCCTCCCTCCCTCCCTTCCTTCCTTCCTTCCCTTTTTGGTACTGGGGATATAACTCAGGACCCTGCACTTGCTAGGCAAGCACTGACACCGAGCTACTTCCCAGCCCCAGCTCTTACAATTTTTAGCCTTCAGACAGGTGTACAGCTATTAGTATAGCTCATTTCTGATAGGTATATAATGGTAATTCATTGTCCTGAGTTCATTTTCACATATCTTTTGGCCATTCAAACAGTATATCTTATAAAGTTCAACTCCTAGCCTACTTTTTTCATTAAGTTTTTACTTGTATTTTTTATATTCTACATTCAAGCCCTTTGCTGGTTTTTTTGTTTTTGGTCGGTCGTGGGGCTTGAACTCTGGGCCTGGGTGCTGTCCCTCAGCTCTTCAGCTCAAGGCGAGCGCTCTACCTCTTGAGCCACAGCGCCACTTCCGGTTTTCTAGTGGTTTATTGGAGATAAGAGTCTCACGGACTTTTCTGCCTGGGCTGGCTTTGAACCATGATCCTCAGATCTCAGCCTCCTGAGTAGCTAGGATCACAGACGTGAGCCCCTGGCGCCCAACCCCTTTGTCCCCTTTGTTAGTTTTTCTTTTTTGTTGTTGTTGTTGTTGTGGTTTTTTTTGGGGGGGGGATCCGGTTGTGGGGCCTGAACTCTGGGCCTGGGCGCTGTCCCTCAGCTCTTCAGCTCAAGGCTCGCGTTCTACCATTGAGCCACAGTGCCACTTCCAGCTTTTTTCTTTTTGCTTATGTGGTGCTGAGGAATCAAACCCAGGGTCTCATGCATGCAAGGCAAGCGCTCTACCACTGAGCCACCTTCCCAGCCCCACCTTTGTTAGTTTTTGTATTCAACAACTGGTTTCCTTTTTTTCTCTTAATATGTTTTGATGAGCGAAAATAAAGTACATGTTTAAGTGCAATGCAGGGGCTGCGAAGGTGGCTCAGTGGTAGAGCGCTTGCCTTGCATTCCTAAGGCCCTGGGTTCGATTCCTCAGCACCACATAAGCAAAATGAAAAAAGCCGGAAGTGGCGCTGTGGCTCAAGTGATAGAGCACTAGCCTTGAGCTGAAGAGCTGAGGGACAGCACCCAGGCCCAGAGTTCAGGCCCCACGACCGGACCCAAAAAAAAAAAAAAAAAGAGTAATTAAGTGCAATGCAGCAAATGGAATGAAAAGAAACAAAATCTGACATTTCTTATAAAGATCCTAAACTGAAACTATTATTGAATGTGCTGGCCAACCACAACAACAAAAAAATTCAGTTATTCAGTAATCTTAATAAAGAATAGCTCCTAGCTGAGCGATGGTGGCTCACGCCTGTAATCCTCGCTACTGAGAAGACTGAGATCTGAGGATCACAGTTCAAAGCCAGCTGGGGCAGAAAAGTCCATGAGACTCTTATCTCCAATAGGCCACTAGAAAACTGGAAGTGACGCTGTGGCTTAAGCGGTAGGTTGCTCGCCTTGAACTGAAGAGTGCAGGGACAGCGCCCAAGCCGAGTTAAAAAAAAAAAAAGAATGGCTCCTATATGCCAAAAACGAAGAAAATTACATGATCCAAAGCATCTTGAATTTGTAATTTCTGCAAAAGCAATAGTTAACAGGCATATAAACCCAAAATTCTTGTGGGGGGGGGGAACTACTCTTTTCAAAAGAACACAGTAATCCAACACTAGCTCTCTGTAGTTAAACTTTAATGAAGACATAGAACTTAAGCTGTGTTTTTCCTAAGTTCCATAATGTTGTGTCAGCAATGTGTTTAGTGTGCCTTCCAAACAGTCTAACCTCAGGAAGTGCTATTTCTGCCAAGAAATGTATTAATCTAAATAAAAAACCATATAAACCCAAATTGAAGGAAATTCAGCAAGATAACTGGCTTGTACTTCGTAATATTCAAACTGTGAGGAACATGAAAGTAGAGGAAAGTCTAAAAAATCATTTCAGAATGCAGGTTAATAGACATGATAACTAAATGCAACCAGCAGTTCTGTGGATTAAGTAGTATCAATGAAACCATTAGTTTCTGAGTTTCATATTTGTGCTAACTACCCTAGATTATAAGAAACATACAGGGGCTGGGAATGTGGCTTAGTGGTAGAATGCTTGCCTAGCATGCATGAAGCCATGGGTTCTATTCCTCAGTACCACATAAACAGAAAAAGTCGGAAGTGGCACTGTGGCTCAAGTGGTAGAGTGCTAGCCTTGAACAAAAGAAGCTCAAGGACAGTGCCCATGCCCAAGTTCAAGCCCAGGACATGCAAAATAAAAAAGAAATATAAATTAACTAATGTTAAGCATGGTAATGGCTATTTACTATCAAAGAGAATATATATATATATTGTTTTAGTAATTATTCTTTGAGCTAGAAATTATTCTAAAAATATAAAAATTAAACATGAGGAGGTTTGGAGTTCCTCACATTCTAAACTAGTTCACTAAATTGCTAAATTAACATAAACTTTATAATATATATATATACTTGAATTAATGCTTCAAAGATTTAGAACAAGTTAAGTTTCCTGTTAAAAATTGCCTTTACCAACACAAGCTTTTTTGGTTTTTTGTTTTGTTTTTGTGAGCTTTTTTTATTTATGAGTCCTGGGGCTTGAAACTCAGGGCCTGTGTGTTGTTCCTGAGCCTCTTTGTGCTCAAGGCTAGCACTCTACCACTTGAGCCATAGCACCATTTCCACTTTTTTCTGAGTAATTTCACAGACTTTCCTGTTTCCTATTTCACAGTCTCAGATTTTCCTGTTTCCTATTTCACAGTCTCAAGACTTTCCTGCTCAGGTTAGCTTCAACCCCAATCCTCAGATCTCAGCCTCCTGAATAGCTAGGATTATAGGTGTGAGCCACCAGCGCCTGACTCCAACATAAGCTTTTATGTTACCCAATTAAGTAAAGCAAGTACAGAGACCTTCTTCACAAGTTTATAAAAGATTTCATTCTTTGAGAATTAAAAGAAAACTGGGAATTATCTTCTTAATTCTGTATTAAGAACAAAATTCATTCTGTTCACTCTTTAAATTTTTAGTAAAAGACATGTACGACACACTTATAGGGGAGAACATAAAGACATTCCCTTGATTTTAACTTCATCATCAAATAAAATGAGCAGCCATACAAGATACAAAGTAGTTTTTTTTTTTTTTTTTTGAGTCCGGTCGTGGAGCCTGAACTCTGGGCCTGGGTGCTGTCCCTCAGCTCTTCAGCTCAAGGCTAGCGCTCTAACCACTTGAGCCACAGCGCCACTTCCGGCTTTTTTCTTTTTGCTTATGTGGTGCTGAGGAATTGAACCCAGGGCCTCAGGCACACAAGGCAAGCACTCTAGCACTGAGCCACCCTCCCAGCCCCAGATACAAAGTAGTTAAATGGTATAAAATAGTCTCAAACAATGTTTCTCACTCAACAAAAGCAAAAAATGCTTTGAAACATACTTTTTAAAGCTGGCAGCCAATGGTTTACTACATCCATACTCCAATCTTGTGTTAGTCAGAGCTCAGGAGAACTATGGTTGAAAGCCAGCCCAGGAATACATGGAGATCTCTTTTCTACCAATAGCTGGGCAGTTGTGTGTACCTGTCATCTCAACTACATGGGAAGCTGAGATCAGGAGGATCATAGAACCAGGCCAGCCCAACCAGAGAGTCCTCAAGACTTGTCTCAATGGAAGATAATGTTGCATGTGACTATCCATGCCAGCTAAGACATAATAGAGGAAGATCACAGTCCAGATGGTGGCCCAAGCAAAACACAGCATCTTATTTAAAAAAAAAAAAAATTGGTGCTTGCCAGGTGATGGTGGCTCATACCTGTAATCCTAGCTACTCAGGAGGCTGAGATCCCAGTTCCAAGTCAGCCCAGGCAGGGAAGGCCATCAGACTCTCATTTCTAATTAACCCCAGAAAAACTCAAGTAAGCCCTGTGGCTCAAAGTAGTAGAGTACTAGTCTTGAGCAGAAAAGCTCAGAGACAGAGACCAAGCCCTGAGTTCAAGACTCTTGATGGACCGGAAAAAAAAAAAAAAAAGGTGCAGAAAAGGGTTTAAGACATTGCCCAGCAGTAGAGGACACTTTGAAGCAGTAAATTCACACCACAGTGGGGGTAATGAAAGGACACATTTGTGGAGAAGTTTTCTTAGATCCTCACTGACTACTGGTAGATATTTTCCTCTTGTTTCTGTACTAACTTAAAAGACTGGAGAGAAATGGTGGGTGAATGTAGATATGTTAAATGGAACAATGTAACATGAGGGAATGATGGGGTTTGTGAGATGGAGGACACAATGGAAGGTCTATGGAGCTTCCAGTGAAGTGCAGAGTACTGAGTTCAGGGACAGCACCCAGGACCTGATTTCAAGCTTCCCCATGCCCCAGTTCTACCTTCCTCTCTCCTCTTCCCCTCCTCTTTCTCTTCTCCCTCCTTTAACCTCTCCCCCCCACCAAACACACACACACAGTGGACCAAAAAGTTCAACAGACAAAAACACTAAAATTAGTCTTCTAAAGTCCTGACATTTATCTAACAGCAACTTGTGGGTTGTGTCTGCAAACTAGAATTGTTTACTGCTAACAATAGTCACAGTTACTACAGTAACTATACAAAATGTACTCAGAATTCTATTGTGTGTGTAGACAGAAAAAGACTGAAAAACTTTTCCGAGGAAAAAATACTACCAGACAGAACACCGACAAGATTTGAACTCAAGTTTTCTCCCTTAGGTTGTTGAAAGAAATATGCTTTCAAGTTTTGGGCAGACACAGGTTCATTTTTCCTGGTCAGATCACTACTAAATCAAAGAGCTTATAGTATATATTAACCTCATAAGAGTCACAGCACTTTGCAGAGCAACATGTTATCCACGTGCAACTTACATGTCTGTTTGTTCTGAAACAAGGTCTCTCGGTGTTGGCCGGGGTAGCAGTCTAGAACTCACGCCACTCAATCTCCTGGACTCACAGGGCCCGGCTGTTATCACCTTTAAATTCCCTACTAGTGGGAGGGGTTATGTGGGAGAGGCGATGGGACTAGGGCTAAGGCTAGGAGTAGGCCTCGCGTACGTCATTAAAAAAAAAAAAAAATCTCCCGGGGAAGATTTCCCTCCCCACCCCCGTGCTCCTCAAATATGCAATTCGCTAACCTGTTACCAATCAACAGCAAAAGAAAAATTTTCGTTATCCTTCTGCTTATTTTTATTCCCAAATAAGCAGCACTTCTATCGACCAGAAGCTGGCACGATGCCTGCTCCACTAATGGCTCGTCAAAGCGAAATACTCTATGTTAACGAAAATCAGAATACAGCCTGAAAACAAGCTAGTGCTTGAATACTCGTTTTCCTCAGAGTCTGTGTGTCCTATAGCGGGGTTCCTAACGGAGATAGTAACTCCCAAGATAATCTACTGCATGCAGTCAGAATCGCTGTAACTAAGGGCAATCCAAGTTACTCCTGTTACAATTTGTCAGATAAATTACCATTACACTATTTAAAAGGAGTGCGTTAAAGACGCTTCTAGATAAATGCGACCTAAGCAGGTCACCGAGGACTTGAGAGAAGTCACGTCTCGCATTACATCCCTGCCCTCCTCCGATCTCATCAATGCCCAAGTCCCGCTGATGGTTTGTATTCATTTTGCCCAAGACACGCTCCTGTGGAACGTGTGCGGGGAACCCAGCTCTGCACCCGCTTCCCCGCCCCTCCACGCTCCGGGGCTCCAGATCCTCCATTAGCCAACCCCGCCAAGTCGTGTCCCTCCCCGGGCCAGGAAGCGAGCCCGCGGCCCTCGGCCCCTCCCCAGCTCCGGCCCGGCTCCCTTCCGCTCTCCCCCAACGGTCCCAGGGTCGGGGAGGGGGGGGGCCTCACCTCTCCACCCACTCCCGCAGGAAACGCATCTCCTCGGTGTGCAGGACGCTCGGGTCCTGCTTACACATCTTCACGAAAGCGCGAAGCTCGCTGACTTTGCGGGGATCCATGGTCGGGAGGCGGAGGGCGGCGGCGGCGGACGCGGCGGCGGCGGCGGACGCGGCGGCCCGGTCCCAGGCCCAGGCGCGGCCTCGGCGTGAGCGAGCGCGGAGAAGGGGGCGGCTGCCGCAAGGCCGAACAGACTAGAACCTCCCGGACCGCTGGCTCCGCCCCCAACGGCCTCGTGACCCTGGGTCCTTCGCTGGTGCCTTCCCACTCCCTCTCCCACTGCTCCTGCGCACGGACTAGAACCTTCTAGAAGTGCGGCTGTTCGTGCTATTGCCTGCCTCGTCACGCGAACATTCTATGTAGTCTTTCCTCTGAACCACTTCCCGGGATGGGTCACTGGGGCTTTCAGACATGTGGGAGGCATCACCCCCTTCAAGGAGGCATTATTGGATCGTCTATGAATATGGGCATTAAGTAGACGCTCGGCGCCATAACGAATAAAAGGACCCTCCGGAGCGCCTGCCCTGCGTGACGTCATCACGGGGCGCCGGCACTTGAGGGCGGCCCGCGAGCGGCGCGGGGAGGCAGGGGAGGGGCGGTTGGCCTGGTTTCCTGGCGACGCGGCTGTGCCAGCGGCTCTTTCTCGTGCGGTTTAATCTCCTCCTCTCCCCGACGCGTGAGCTGGCAGCCATGCCTTGGCTTCTCTCAGCTTCCAAGCAGGTTCTCGCCGCAGCAAGAGCCCGCGGCCTTTCAGGTTAGACTCTCCTCGTGCGGCGTCCGCTCCAAGGGCTTGATCTTGGAGAAGCTTGAGGCGTCTCAAAAGGGATCAAAATGGCTCTACATCCCTGGTTCTCTGCTCACTTCCGCTGGGGGCTCCGCGGATTTCCCTTTTACCCGCCTCTTCTGGAGAAGGGTGGACCCTGTATTTTCTACAGTTGACGTTTTTTGTTTTTTATAATGGGAAGCAGACGTCACTGCAGAGGGAAAAGTTGGTGCTGTCCCGCAGAGGGACTTCAGCCAAGTTACTCAGACTTAACGGAAGCTGTGTCAGTTACCACACTTACCTAGGTGACTCGTGTCTGTTGGGACAATGTAAAATCTTATTTTCATGTTTTTATGGTTCAGGGCTGGGAAATGTGGCTTAACGGATTACTTGTCTAGCATGCATGAAGCCATGGGTTCGATTCCTCAGTACCACATAAACAGAAAAAGTTGGAAGTAGCGCTATGGCTCAGGTGGCAGGGTGCTAGCCCTGAGCAAAAGCAGCTCAGGGACAGAGGCCCAGTCCGAGTTCAGACCCCAGGACTGGCACAGAAACAAAACAAAAAGTTGGTTCAACAGCTGAGTCTAGGATATGTAAGAAGCACGCTTAGTAACACATCCTTTGCGCGGCTCCTCTCAGAAGAGCTAATGTATAGAAGTATTCGCTGGGCTTTTTTTGTCTAGAAGTCGTGTTTGTGAGAACAGGATGATAGAGCCCAGGAACAAGGCTGTCTTGTATGGCCAGCAGTTTATCTTTATGAGCATAAAGTTTATAGTGAAAGCTGAGCCATCTACTTGAAAACAGACTATATTTCAGTTTGAGGGAGTCATTGTTGACCCCGGAGTACATGGTCTTTGACATCAAAGCCATATCTTGGCAAATTTTTTATATACTTGGATTCACAGAAAATTGATTTTTAATTATATTGTCTTAACATCTTTCCATTGTATGACCCAGAGTACATGGTCTTTGACATCAAAGCCATATCTTGGCAAATTTTTATGATATACTTGGTTCATAGATCAATTTTTAATTATATTGACTTAATGCCTTTCCATCAAAATACCCAGCACACAGAAGTTGCTGTTCATTTCTACATGCAGAAAACTTGTGACTTTTGATTTTCGTGTGACTTATTTTTTTTGGGGGGGGGAGGGTCCAGTCGTGGGGCCTGAACTCTGGGCCTGGGCGCTGTCCCTCAGCTCTTCAGCTCAAGGCTAGCGCTCTACCACTTGAGCCACAGCGCCACTTCCGGCTTTTTTTTTTTTTTTGCTTATGTGGTGCTGAGGAATCGAACCCAGGGCCTCATGCATGCAAGGCAAGCGCTCTACCACTGAGCCACCTTCCCAGCCCCTCGTGTGACTTATTTTTAATTTTTTTTTTTTTTTTTTTTTTGGGTCCGGTCTTGGGGCCTGAACTCTGGGCCTGGGCTGTCCCTCAGCTCTTCAGCTCAAGGCTAGTGCTCTACCACTTAAGCCACAGCGCCACTTCCGGCTTTTTTTTTTGCTTATGTGGTACTGAGGAATCGAATCCAGGGCCTCGAGCATGCAAGGCAAGCGCTCTACCACTGAGCCACCTTCCCAGCCCTCCTGTGACTTATTTTTATAAAGCCTGGTTGGCCAGATTTAAAACCAGGTACTAGATTATAGATAGAAAATTTTTTCCAGGGGCTGGGAAGGTGGCTCAGTGGTAGAGTACTTGCCTTGCATGCATGAGGCCCTGGGTTTGATTCTTCAGCACCACATAAGCAAAAAGAAAAAAGCTGGAAGTGGCGCTGTGGCTCAAGTGGTAGAACACTAGCCTTGAGCTAAAGAGCTGAGGGACAGCGCCCAGGCCCACAGTTCAGGCCCCACGACTGGACCCAAAAAAAAAGAAAAGAAAATTTTTCCAGCCCCGCTCCGGTGGCTCACACCTGGAATCCTAGCTACTCAGAAGGCTGAGATCTAAGGATCACAGTTCAAAGCCAGCCAGGGCAGGAAAGTCCATAAGACTCATCTCCAGTAAACCACTCAGAACAGGAAGTGGCGCTGTGACTCAAGTGATAGAGAAAAACTGTCTTGTTTCCATGGAGCAAAGCAAGCTTAACCTCACTGGCATTAATGTAGTTGGGCTAAAATTTTTAGCACAATGAATGAGAGGTCTTGAGTCTTCACACTGTCCAGTAAGAGGGCAGATAACCTCATTTTAGTAATGAGGAACTGGAACCTAGTATCGCAAGAACCAAGGTAGGAAGTTTAGTTGCATATGATTTTTCCTTATATCCACTACTGACTTTTACACTGGTTTTATAGAGTCCTTTTTCGAACCTTCTATTGAGTCAAAGACTGCTTGCTTGCTTTTTTTTTTTTTTTTTGGTGCTAGTTCCAAAATAATATTGAAAAGGAGTGGAAGAGTGGACATTCTTGCCTTGTTCCTGATTATAGAGAAAATGGTTTTAGTTTTCACCATTTAGCATGTTATCTCTACAATAAATGGTCAAAAAATGTGATAAATACAATGGAATATTACTCATCCATTAGAAAGAATAATAGTAAGTCACTTGCAGGGAAATAGATGGACCTATGCCCACACAGAAAAAAATTTGCTGTAAAATGTACAATCCACGTTTTTGTGTACGTAAAATACTGGGGCCTGAACTGTGGACCAAAGACACTGTCCCTGAGGCTTTTTGGTAGTTTCTTGGAGATGAGTCTCATGGACTTTTCCTGCCCTGGCTGGCTTCATACTTTGATCCTCAGATCTCAGTGTCCTGAATAGCTAGGATTACAGGTATGAGCCACCTGTGTTGTATAATCTTTTTGTTTGTGTGTGGTAGGGCTTGGACTCTGGGCCTGGGCACAGCACTGTTCCTGGTCTCTTCAGCTCAAGATGAGTGCCCTACCACTTGAGCCACAGCACCACTTCCAGTTTTCTGGTGGTTGATTGGAGATAACAGTCTCATGGACATTGCTGCCGGGGCTGGCTTTGAACCACAATCCTTAGATCTCAGCCTCTTGAGTAGCTAGCATTATAGGCATAAACCACCGACCCCCAGCTATAATCCTATTTTTAAGTGCACAGTTCAGTAGTGTTAGTATATTCACAGTGTTTGTAAAGCAGATCTCCAGATTGTTTTTGTAAATCCAAAACTCCTTACATACTATATAACCACTTTTCCCTTTCTCCTAATCCCTGGTAACAATTATTTTACTTTGTCTTTGAATTTGGCTACTTTGTCTTTGAATTTAGATACCCTATTTATGTGAATCATATAGTCTTTGTCTTTGAGTAACTGGCATATTTTGCTTAGTACAGTGTTCTGAAGACTCACCATATTGTAGCATATGACTCTGTTTTCTTTTCTAAGGCTGAATAATATTCCATATTTTGCTTCTCCAATTGAGTTGATTCCACCTCTTCACTATTCTGAATAGTTCTGCTTTGAACCTGTTTGTGCAAAGTCTATTTAAGTTAAAAATTTAAAAATTAGCTGGGCAGGGATGCTCGATAGGAAATGTACTCATTACCTTATTCATTTAACTGTAACCCCTGTGTACAGTATCTTTACAATAAAAAATATATTTTAAAAAATTAGCTGGGCATGGTGACTCACACCTGTAATCCTAGTTATTCAGAAGGCTGAGAGCTAAGGATCATGGTTCAAAGTTAGCCTGGACAGGAAAGCTGTTGAGACTCTTAACTAACTACAAAAACAGAAGCGTGCCTCAAGTGGTAAAACACTAACCTTGAGCATAAAGCTCAGAGACAGCGCCCCAAGACCCATGACAGACACAAAAATAAACAACAAAAAAAAAACATTTTGAAGTTAAAGGAAAAATTGATTTTTAATTTATGTCTAAGTAATATATCAAATGCTCTGCCTCCATTAGAAAAAGCCACCTCATGGATAATTGTATTGACTGAACCTATATTTCTTAACACATAATTCAAATGTGTGCATAATGGCTTTTATTAGATGAATGAATGAACTAAATCATAAACTCTACCAAAGAAAATTTATATATATACAATCAACTTTAAAAAAAAAATAGGGATGAGGGGATGTAGGTAGCAAAAAAATAGTTTTTCCAAAGGCACCAAATCTTATCATTCTTATTATCTTCTTATTCTGATATACCTATCCAAACAACTACTGACATGTATCCACAGCCCTGATTTAAATGTTAAAATACCTGTAGATATTAACATCCAAAAAAATTTGTTTTCAGTCCTGGACTTTGAACACTGGGGCTTAGGCACTGTCCGTGAGCTTCTCTACTCAAGGCGAGTATCCTACCACTTGAGCTACAGCTCTACCTCTGGCTTTTTGTGGCTAACTGGAGATTCAAGAGTTTCATGGACTGTGTTAACTTTGAACCATGATCCTTAGATCTCAGCCTCCTGAGTAGCTAGGATTACAGACATGAGCCACCGATGCCTAGCCTGAATTATTGTATACATATATTTTTTTCCTTTTTTTTTTGTCAGTTGAACTCGACCTACACACTGTCCCTGAGCTCTTCAGCTCAAGGCAAGCGCTCTACCACTTCAGCCACAGCTCCACTTCCAGTTTTCTGGTGGTTAATTGGAGATAAAGGTCTCACAGACTTTCCTGCCCGGGCTGGCTTTGAACTGGGATCCTCAGATCTCAGCCTCCTGAGTAGCTAGGATTACAGGCGTGAGCCACTGGCACCTGGCTCTTTTATATATTATAAAACATGTTATTAGAAAACATCGATCAACCAACACACACACAGAATCACGTTCAAATGTTGCATGGTCAAAATGTATCTGAAACCAGTTTAGCGGTTCCTTTTGGTTGACTTCTTCTTCTGTCCCTCTTTGTGCTTCTTTTTTTTCCTCTTACTACCTTCTTTGAATCCTGCTGAGATAATAGAAGGATCCCAGTTGCTAGTGACCCAAGGTATACCTTGTTGATGATTGTCCACAAAAGGAAATGGAGATACGTGTTTGGGACTGTAGGAATTTGATGGATAATGGGTGAATGACTGCCTTCTCCAGTTGCGTTGTGCAAAGCCTTCTTCATCTGCCACTCTGTTCATAAGGAAGGATTTCAACTCACCATCATCTTCAATTTCTGTTTCCTGACCATACTCAATTTTCTTTGTACTAAGACTTCTGCCGCTTGTAATTTTGCCTGAAGTTGTAACAGGTATGTACTTGCCCATCTCACTGCCATCAAATGTCCGGGAAGAGGATGAAGTAAAGCCTTCATGCCCCAGTGAACCATAGGATGTGTATCTTGTGTCATAGGAAGAAAATCTCTGATAAACTGGTTGGTTACTGGAAGTAGGGAAAAAGGATCCTGTACCTCTTCTTCCACAGGTGTGTCTTGGACTATTTAAAAGGTCCTGAAGTGAGTCTTCAAAGAAGTGAAATGAAAATGGATCCCTTTCACCAAAAAATTCTTTAAAGACATCATCTGTCTTATAGAATGTGAAGCTTTCCTCACATTCATTATCAAAATGACTTCTGCCTCCGCCATCTAATCCTTTTTTGCCATATTTATCATAAATGACCCGTTTTTCATTATTTGACAGTACCTCATATGCCTCAGCTACTTCTTTGAATTTTTTCTCTGCTTCTTCTTTATTTTCTGGATTTTTATCAGGGTGCCATTTAAGTGCTACTTTATGGTAAGCTTTTTTAATGTCCTCGGATGAGGCGTATCTCTGCACTCCTAGAACTTCATAGTAATCCACCATATTTTAACAGATGATTGGAAACGAGTGCACTGGATAGTGAGCACTGTAGTTTCCTTGCAGCTCAGGCTCTGCTGGGATGGTTTGGTGGTAGAGGCAGTGACTGCATGTAGATAGGCACATTTTTACATTGATGGTAATGCCACCATGAGCCACTGTTAGGACTTTGATTATGTGTCAGGCAGAGGTAGAGCTTATGTCAGAGAGGGCTGTATTATGGTGTCATTCTGGGGTAGTGACAGGGACTGGACCTTCCAAATAGAGCTGGTCCAGTCATACCATCTAGAACCTTCTGTACTGTTCTCCTATATTACTCTGGAAGCCTCACACAATGCCTCATAAACCAATTGGATCTGTTGCTAATGGTCACAACATTGCGCAATTCGGCCTCCAGATTACTGAGCCTTAACTACTGCTACTCAGTTCTCCCATGTTTTTCTTTAGAGAAACGAAGACTTAGGAAATAGTAAACTACTCAAGCAGGTAACATTTACTCAAGGCAAGAGACTTAAAGCTCAGCAGAAGTTACAAACAAGTAATTCAGTACAGTATAATAAGGACAATGGGGGAAGGAGCACTGGGTGCTAAGCAGTGTTTATGAGAGGTATCCCTAGACTGAGTGTCAGGGAAGACTTTCTGGCGCACATAGCCTAAATATAGTCTTTCTGAGTGACCGTGGTGAGTCATTTAAAGTGTTGGTTCCTGTGTCCATCTAGAGTTTATTCCTTGGGAGTGGAAGTATGGCTCAAGTGGTAGAGGGCCAGTCTAAGTGACAGTACCCAGGCCCTGAGTTCAAGCCCCAATACTGTCACATAAAAAAAGAACAGAAGGTCCTGAGTTCAAACTCCAGGACTAACAAAAAAAGTTTACCATCATAAAAAAATATAGCTAAACCTTGAGCTGAAGAATTGAGGGACAGTGTCCAGGCCCAGAGTTCAGGCCCCACGACCAGACCAAAAAAGAAAAAGAAAAAGAAAAAAAATGTAGCTAAAGATTTTAGAAGTTGGATATTTATGTGTTTTCTCTCACTCCCATATGTGTGTATGTGTACACACATATGTATACACATATACACATATATACATATATGTATGTATGTAATTATTGAATGCCTACTTCATGCCAGGCACAGTTTTAGCCATTACTGATGAGTATTAAACAAAAGCTTGTTTTTATAAGAGACCATGTAATAAACATGTAAAGATAATTTGAGATATGTGATAATGTTCTTTAAAAAATGTGATGGTGGTGTTTGTTTTTGCTTTTGGGTTTTGTTGGGTGTTTTTAGAGAAGACAAAAGGGGGGGGCACAGAAATGGAGGAAGGAAAGGTGAACAAATGCAGTCATTGTATTCAGTATACATTATGTGGAAAATGAACTGTGCAACTTCTAGGCAGAAGACAGGAGGGGAAAATGGTGAAAGTGAAGGAAGGGATGACATTGTCCACTCGTTACCTGAGTTATGAAATGGTAACCCCTTATTATATTTTAAGACAGGTGCCAATGGCTCATGCCTATAATCCTAGCTTCTCGGAAGGCTGAGATCTGAGGATCACAGTTCAAAGCCAGCCTGGGCAGGAAAGTCCGTGAGACTCTTATCTCCAATAAACGACCTAAAAACCGGAAATGGCGCTGTGGCTCAAGTGGTAGAGTACTAGCCTTGAGCTGAAGAGCTGAGGGACAGCGCCCAGGCCCAGAGTTCAGGCCCCATGACCGCACCCAAAAAAATAATAATAATAATAATAAATATATATATACACATACACACACACACACACACAATCCTGAATAGTCTCTAGAGAAATAGTCTCTAGAGTACAGGAATAAGTGCAAAACTTGTGAAGTTAAATAACTGACCGTGCAGGTGCTCATGCCTATAATCTTAGCTACTGAGATGGATGAGTTCTAAAGATCTGATTGAAAGCCATCCAAAGTAGGTAAGACTTATCTCAACTAACCACCAAAAATCCAGAAGAGAAGATGTGGCTCAAGTGGTAGAATGCTAGCCTTGAGCACAAAAAGCTCTGGGCCAGTGCTTAGGCTCTCAGTTCAAGCCCCAGGATCCACACTAAAAAAAATTATAGTCCTGGGTTGACTCTTAGCTTCCCAAGTAGTATGTAACCTTGTAGAAATTACTTCTTTTAACCTGCTTTCTCATTTTATGAAATGATGGTAATGTCTATTTCATGCAGCAAAACCTAGTAGTAATTTGCCATTCAAAGCCTTCAAAGTTCTGCTCCTCGCCTTCCTAATCTCCCTCCTTCCTAATCTCCCTCTGGGACACCTGCCTGCAGGGGTCAGGGGAAGGGGAATCCTGTTGCTTTGGTGTGTTCTTGTGTATTCTGCCCCTTTCTGCCTCTTCTCTACCTTCAAGCACAAATGCATACACAGCGCATTCTGCAACCTCATCCATACTTCACACTCTCACTCCTTTAGTTGACCATTTCACGCTCAGAGCAGGCATTGCCTACCTTGGCAGTAGCATACACACACCTTTTGAAAGCTCCTCAGTGCCCCAGAGCAAGCATTCTGTGTCATTTTAAGATGGTAATAATCATGGGCTGGGAAGGTGGCTCAGTGGTAGAGCACTTGCCTTGCATGCCTGAGGCCCTGGGTTCGATTCCTCAGCACCACATAAGCAAAAAGAAAAAAGCCAGAAGTGGCGCTGTGGCTCAAGTGGTAGAGTGCTAGCCTTGAGCTGAAGAGCTGAGGGACAGCGCCCAGGCCCAGAGTTCAGGCGCCACGACCGGACCCAAAAAAAAAAAAAGATTGTAAGAATCAGTTTGTCCATGAACCCAGCACTGCATTCACTATGTATTACTCCACTACACTGCTTTTTTTTTTTTTTTGAAGATGAAAGCAATAAAAAAAAAATTCGTGTAGCCATGCGCTGGTGGCTCACGCCTGTAATCCTAGCTACTCAGGAGGCTGAGATCTGAGGATTGCAGTTCAAAGCCAGCCCAGGCAGGAAAGACCGTGAGATTCCTATCTCCAGTGAACCACCAGAAAACCAGAAGTGGCACTGTGACTCAAGTAGTAGAGTGCTAGCCTTGAGCTGAAGAGCTGAGAGATAGCGCCCAGGCCCAGAGTTCAAGTCCCACAACCGACAAAAAGGAAAAAAAAAAAAAAAGAAAATTTCCTGTGTGTCTGTGTGTCTTTATGTCTGTGTGTCTGTAAGTACGTACATATGCGTGCGTGCCAGTTTGGGAGCTTGAACTCAGGGTCTAGGTTGCTATCCTGAGCTTTTTTTTGCTCAAGGTTAGTGCTCTACCATTTGAGCCCCAGCTCTACTTTCAGGCTCTCTTAGTAATTCATTGAAGGTAAGATTCTTACAGACTTTCCTGCCTAGGCTGGCTTTGAACCGCAATCCTCAGATCTCAGCCTCTTGAGTAGTATTATAGATGTAAGCCACTAGTTCCTAGTAAGAAAAATTCTTACGTTACCATGTGTTCCAACCACGTGCTCAATATTATTGAATTAAATGCTTATAATAGTAACATTTATTTTGTCATAATTATGATTAAGCATTTTTTCATCTATTATTTCATCTTACTAGAACATTCTAAGAGTAAGAGCATTATGTATTGTTTTCATGTTTAACATACTTTCAATAAAAAATATCCTTTTTCCAAAATTTGAAGTCACAGACTCAAGCTATCTCTTATCTCCTTAACTCTGCTTTTGTTTGTTTCCTTCCTTCTATTTTTTTTTTGTGAAAATATAGAGAGGTTACAATTACATGAGCAAGGCAATGAGTACATTTCTTATCAAGCATTGTTGCCTCCTCCTTTGTTTCCCCTTCCCATCCCTTCCATCTCCTCCACCATCACCACCAACACCCCCCCCCCCCCCCCCCCGCCAAAGTTGTAAAGTTCATTTTCAACATAATGTCTTATACATCTCATTGTTGCAATAGGTCCACCTGTATCCCTATTTAAACAATTTGTTTTTTCCCTTCTCCACGAAGTATACCAACATCAAATACAGTGAAAACAGGGGTCTTACTGTGGGGGAGGGACATATAAAGCAACAAAAAAATCATCTTATAAATATGTTAGAAACAATTGCAAGAAAGAAAAAACAATTGAATCCTTCTTCCTTCTATTCTTGTAATTTTATTCATACCTTTAGCAGAGAGAGAGATTCCATGAAACTAGCAAACTAGTGTCTCTGAGGGTAAAGATGATCTCATTTCTATTTTCCTAGTTCCCAAGCACAAACACTGGTGTAGAGGAAGAAAGGTCCATCTAAATGTTAGAAGAGAAGATAAGAAATACTAATTTGTTGGGCTGTTTTGGGGTTTTTTTGGTTGTTTATTGGGCTTGAACTCAGGGTCTGGGTGCTGTCCATGAGCTTTTGTGCTCTACCACTTTGAGCCACAGCTCTACTTCCAGTTTTCTGGTGGTTAATTAGAGATAAGAATCTTATGGGGCTGGGAAGGTGGCTCAGTGGTAGAGTGCTTGCCTTCCATGCACAAGGCCCTGGCTTCCATTCCTCAGCAGAAAGCCGGAAGTGATACTGTGGCTCAAGTGGTAGCGCACTAGCCTTGAGCTGAAGAGCTGAGGGACAGCGCCCAGGCCCAGAGTTTAGGCCCCACAACAAAAAAACAAGTATCTTATGGACTTTCCTGCCCCCAGTGGCTTTGAACCATGATCCTCAGATCTCAGCCTCCCGAGTAGCTAGGATTACAGGAATGAGCCACCAGTACCCAGCTTAATTTTATTTTCTAAGCAACCAAATTTTTTTAAATAGATGATTGTATAAATATTGTGAAAGCCATTGTTCCATCTCATCATCTTTATTCTTCCTTCAGGATGCATGTTATGTATACAGCGAGGATACTCCCTCCAGCCCATGCCAGAGAGGAAAATTCCTAACCGATACTTAGGCCAGCCCAGTCCAGTTACACACCCACACCTCCTGGGACCAGGTAAGGCATTTTAACTATTATAGCTCTCCACCCACGTACCTTGTCTAGAAAAATGCTGTTAACATTTTTTTGTAGTAATGAAAGTATGTTACATCTTCATAAAAGCATCCACTAACCATCTGTGGTTTTTTGTACACTAAAAATATTGGTAGTGTGACTGAGGAACTCATTTATATCATATTTTAATTAACTTAAATTTAAGTTTAAATATCTACATGTGGCTATTGGTTTTTTATCTAGAACGATAAATATATCTCAACCGGGCACCGGTAGCTCACGCCTGTAATCCTAGCTACTCAGGAGTCTGAGATCTGAGGATCACAGTTCAAAGCCAGCCAGGACAGAAAAGTCTGCGAGATTCTTATCTCCAATTAACCACCAGAAAACCAGTAATGGCGCTGTTGCTCAAGTGGTAGAGCACTAGCCTTGAGCTGAAGAGCTGAGGGACAGCTCCCAGGCCCAGAGTTCAAGCCCTATGACTGACAAAAAAAAAAAATCTTACAGTTCAAAATAATGAAAGTATGTGTGTCAAGGTGTGATTTAAAAAAATTTCTGGTTCGAACTGGTAGTTTCTGGAACTGTGTTATAACTAATCTTTGTGAGTTACTATATTAAAGATATTTTAGGCCTGGTGCCGGTGGCTCACGCCTATAATCCTAGCTACCTAGGAGGCTGAGAGCTGAGGATTGCGGTTCAAAGCCAGCCCGGGCAGGAAAGTCCATGAGACTCTTGTCTCCAATTAACAAACTAGAAGTGGTGCTGTGGCTCAAGCAGTAGAGCACTTGCTTTGAGCTGAAGAGCTGAGGGACAGTGCCCAGGCCCAGAGTTCAAGCTCCACGACCAACCAAAAAAAAAAGAAATTTTAGAGAACACTTTAAGTATTAAATACTCATTTCAAAATTTAGATTAAGTATGGTATCCAAATCTGTCAGCACAGTGAAAGATAACAATCCCAGTTGATAAAAGTAATGCAAAAAAATCAATCAAGTTTTATTTCATTAATTTTTTCCTATAAGATCCCAGAGTGGCTGCTAAGAGATGTGTTGTCACTATTGTTTTCATAAGGTTTAACAGTATTTTTTTGGTTGGTTTGTTTTTGTTTTTGTTTTTTGCCAATCCTAGGGCTTAAACTCCGGGCCTGGCCACCGTTCCTGAACTTCTTAAGAAGCTCAAAGCTAGTACTCTATAACTTGAGCCACAGCACCACTTTAGGCTTTTTCTTTTTATATGGTACTGAGGGCTTCATGCATGCTAAGCAAGCGTTCTACCACTAAGCCACATTCCCAGCTTTTTTTTTATTGTTTCATTTTTTTTTTAGTAAAGGAATTTCAGGATAAACTGTCATCTCAAAGAAGTAGGCAGCATAAAACTAACTCTGGTAGAAAAAAAAATGTTTCCTAGCAAAGTTGTATCTTAACTTCTACCATGGGAAGTTAAATCTGCATTTACTTTGTAAACGTGTATATTCATGTAAATTACCTTTAGAAATATGTTACTCTTTCACTGTCTCCAGGCAGTGAGTGATACCAGTGTGTCTCTCAGTGAGGACTTCCTTTTGCTGATTCTTCATCAGACTGGAATTCCTGCTGGGAAGCGGCTGAGACTCAGAAGTGCAGCTCACCACTGAAACACACAAGAAATCAGTTTATCAAAGCTGTAAGGTAAGCTTAATAGCAGAATTTCCCTATCAACTTACCTATAGCCTCTATTTATTTTTTAAAAAAAAGCCAGGCGCCAGTGGTTCACGCCTGTAATCCTAGCTACTCAGGAGGCTGAGATCTGACAATCACAATTCAAAGACAGTCTGAGCAGGAAAAGTCCATGAGACTCTTATCTCCAGTAAACTACCGGAAAACTGGAAGTGGTGCTGAGGCTCAAGTGGTAGAGTGCTCACCTTGAGCTGAAGAGCTGAAGAACAGCGCCAGGCCCAGAGTTCAAGCCCCACTATTGGAAAAAAAAAAAAAAAAAGATACTTTACCAGCCTTGAGAATTATTGATTTCTTGTTGTGAAAATACTTTTATGTGGTGAGCTGCATTTTCTAGGCCTTGAACTCAGTAATATTAACATAATGACTGCTATATTTTTACTTTTGTTTATTCATTATGTTCCTGTTAGCTATATTTCTTAAAGAATATAAATGTGTGTGTGTGTGAGAGAGAGAGAGATTGAGTATGGGTAAAAGAGAGTGCCCGTCCTGATTATGCTCATCTAGATGTGGAATTTTAGGCATTGGGAAAGGTGAAAAGAATTAGGAAGAACTGGGAAGAAAATCCTATCTATTCTTCTTTTTCTTTTTCTTTTTTCTGTCAATCTTGGAGCCTGAACTCTGGGCCTGGGCGCTGTCCCTCAGCTCTTCAGCTCAATGCTAGCACTCTACCACTTAAGCCACAGCTCCACTTTCAGCTTTTTCTGCTGATGTGCTGAGGAATCAAACCCCAGGCCTCATACATGCAAGGTAATACTCTACCACTAAGCCACCATCCCAGGTCTAGAATTTTATTTATATATGTCATTGTAGATTTTTATACAATTACCAATATGTACTTTTCATTGTTTTTCTTTTTTGGTCTGCGACCAAGACTCAAATGGTATTCAAACTTAGTACCTGATGCTTTTGTTTATTGGCTAGTACTCTACTAACTGAGCCACACCTCCAACTCCTACTTTCTAGTCCTGAAAACTGAAAAAAAAATTTTTACTTAGCCAGGCACCGGTGGCTCACGCCTGTAATCTGAGGATCTCGGTTCAAAGCCAGCCCAGGCAGGAAAGTCTGTAAGACTCTTCTCTCCAATAAGCCACTAGAAAACTGGAAGTGGCGCTGTGGCTTAAGCAGTAACAGGGACAGCGCCCAAGCTCAGAGTTCAAGCCCCTCGACTGGGGGAAAAAAAAAATTTACTGCCATCAAGTAGTTGTACAATAATTTGTAATCAGTACATGAATGTTGCAAGAAAAAAATATCCGAAGTATTAACCATGCCTTTCACTATCTAAAGAGTTAAATCTTAACCTGGCACCCATGGCTCTTGGCTATTCAGGAGGCTGTGATTTGAGGATCAAGGTTTGAAGCCAGCCCAGGCAGGAAAGTCCATGAGACTCTTATCTCAATTCTTATCTCAATTAATGACCAAAAAACCCAGAAGTAGAACTGTGGCTCAAGTGTCAGAGTGATAGCCTTGAACAAGAAAGCACAGGCACTAAATTAGAAAGAAAAAAAGTTAAATCGTATAGTATTGAAATGATTGTGGGATGAAGAATAAGTTTTTAAATGAAATATATATACATACATTTTTTTTTTAAAGAAGCTCTTTGGGGCTGGGAATGTGGCTTAGTGGTAGAGTGCTTGCCTACAATGTATGAAGCCCTGGGCTCGATTCCTTAGTACCACATAAACAGGAAAAGCTAGAAGTAGCACTGTGGCTCAAGTGGTAGAGTGCTAGCCTTGAGCACAGAGAAGCTCAGAGACAACACCTAGGCCCTGAGTTCAAGCCCCAGGACTGGCAAAAAGAAAAAAGAAAAGAAAAAGGAGCTCTTTTATACAGCTGAAGTCAGTTTGTTTGGAGCATAAAATTATGTCATCTATTATTTGTTTGTTCCAAAAGATTTTGTATTTGAGCTGGGTGCTAGTGGCTCATGATTGTACTCCTAGCTACTTAGAGACTAAAATCTGAGAATCATGGTTCAAAGCCAGCCTGGGCAGAGAAGGCCCCATGAGACTCATATCTCCAATTATTGTGTACTGTGGCTCACTTGGTAGAGTGCTAGCCTTGAACACAGAGAGGCTCAGGGACAGCGCCTAGGCCCTGAGTTCAAGTCCCACAACTGACAAAAACAAAACTGCTCAAAAACCGGAAGTAGAGCTGTGGCTCAAAGTGGTAGAGGGCTAGCCGTGAACAAAAGAGCCTAGGGACAGTGCCCACACTCTGAGTTCAAGCCCATGACCAACCAAGAAAAAAAATAAGATTTCATATTTGGCTTTTATTTAGCCAATCTCAGGTCTTGAAATCAGGGCTAGGGAGTGTCCTTGAGCTTCTTTTGCTCAAGGCTAGCGCTCTACCACTTGAGCCACAGTGCCACTTAGGCTTCTTCTGTTTATATGTTACTGAGGAATTGAACCCAGGACTTCATGCATGCTAGGCAAGCACTCTACTACTAAGCCAAATTCCCAGGCCTAGTAGTATACTTTTTTAAAAAATATAGTTTTTTTAAAGTAAAATTTACACGCAGTGATTTACATGCACAGATCTATAATTGTATGTGTTATGATAAAGATATACACCAGCATGACCTAAACCTCAATCAAAACAGAATACTTACCAGAAATTTCCCTCACATTCTTTCTAAGTTAGTCCCCACCTCCATAGGCAGCAATTCTTTAAGTTTCTACATCATTTTGCCTGTCATATTACTATATGTGAATCATACAGTATTCACCCACTTCTCCTTCCTTCCTTTCTTCTTTCCTTCCTCCCTCTCCTTTCTTTCCTTCCTTCCTTCCTTTCTCTCTCCTTCCCTCCTTCCTTCTTCCCTTCCTAAGATGGGATTTTTGCTATGTAGGGCTTGCCTCAAACTCAAGATCCTTCTTTAGCTTCCAGAATGCTAAGATTTTACAGGCATTTACAACCATACTTCCTTTTCTATCTGTCTTGTTTTCTATATATACAATAAAAGTCTAGTTTTAGATATTTTTAAAATTATTTAGTCATTTCAGGTTTTTCAGAAGGGTCAAGTTTCACATTATAAAGGAAAAAGAAACAATAGAGTTTATTTTCTCCTCATTTGCCACTTGAATAATAATAGATCAGTTCATGAGCTACTCAGCTCTGGCTGGCTATGAGCTTGTGAACCTCCTGCCTCAGCTCTCCGTAGTGCTGGGATTGCAATTATGTGTCGCCATGCCTGGCATGTGGAAGGTAAAAAGTACTATATATTAAGCAGAATTTTCAGAATCAGATCACATTGAAATCCTAATTTAATTTCAGAAAATAAAATACATACCTAGGTTGTAGCAAAAACCTACATGTTTCCATTCATTGTTAGTCTTACTCCATTTTCCTCTCTGGATTTCCTGCTTGGCTGACAAATTATGAAGAACATTCTTTTTGCTCTGTTGAGAAGTCCAATTCCAAATGACCTGAAAGAGCTGTCCTTATTGCCTAAACAGTCTGAAAAATGACTGAGACTTTTCTGTTCCCAGAGTCCAGCTTATGCCAGCTAGACTTTGGTTAAATACACTTATTAGAATAGCCCTTCCATCCTTAATTGGTTCCACATAATGAAATACTGTCTTTATTTCTTCATACTTTACAAGTTGACAGAGTGCCAGAATGTCTATTGCGATAAGTTTTAGCAGAATAAACCTGAGCCAGATTGACTCTTAAGTTAAAATTTCTATGATCAAAGGCCACTATAACTGCCAACTTCACTTCTGAAGTTGAAAGTTCATTGCTTTATTACACTTTTCTCCCCTCCCCCTCCTTCAAATGAAAAGAATACCTTTTTCCTGGATAATTTGTTATTATTCCAGAGAGTTAGTTTATTACTCTAAGAATTTGAAAGCTTGGAAGCATTTAGTTAATGATAACTCCATGTTGATAATTATGAAACTTTATATTTCCTAATCATTCATATGAGATTTGATTATATAAAGAATATAAAAGATTGTTTTCTATCCTTGATTTGATTTCCAAGTAATTTCAGCTTTTTTCAGAAATTACTTCAAAGCTAATGAAAACAGAATCTTGTTCTAATTTTTTTTTCTGATGCTGAATATTTAACCTAGTGCCTCACACTGCTAAGCACGCACTCTACCACTAAGTTGGGGTTTTTTTTGGGTTTTTTTTTTCAGTTGTGGGACTTGAACTCAGGGCCTAGGTGCTGTCCCTGGTCCTCTCTGTACTCAAGGCTAGTGTACTATCAAGTGAGCTTCAGGATACATTAATTGGAGACAAGAGTCTCATGGAGACTTTTCTGCCCAGGCTGTCTTCGAACTGTGATCCTCAGATCTCAGCCTCCTGAATAGCTAGGATTATATGCATGAGCCACCAGCTCCCAGTTTTGTTTGTTGGTTTTTTGTTTCTTTGTTGGTAGTGGGGGCTGAACTCTGGGCCTGGACGCTGTCCCTCAGCTCTTCAGCTCAAGGCTAGCGCTCTACTACTTGAGCCACAGTGCCACTTCCAGCTATTTTTTCTGCTTATATGGTACTGAGGAATTAAACCCAGGGCCTCATACATGCAAAGCAAGCATGTTACCATTGATCCACCTTCCCAGCCCCTTGTTATGGTTTTTTAAATGTTTATTTCATAAATGTAGCTAACTAAACAAATCTTAGGAGAAAATAAAAAGATAAAAAAGAAAGGTCAGGCCGGCACCAGTGGCAGGAGGCTGAGATCTGAGGATCACGCGGTTCAAAGCCAGCCCGGGCAGGAAAGTCTGTAAGACTCTTATCTCCAATAAACCACTAGAAAACTGGAAGTGGCGCTATGGCTCCAGCGGTAGAGCGCTAGCCTTGAGCTGAAGAGCGCAGGGACAGCACCCAAGCCCAGAGTTCAAGCCCCATGACCAACTAAAAAAAAAAAAAAGGAAAGAAAGAAGGGTCTTCTTTGCCTTTCAGAAGTATTTACTGCTTAGGTAAATTTCCGATATTAGGTAACAGTGGCAGTTTTAAACATGAATGGTTTTCAGAATCAAGCTGTTTGGCTCTGGTATAAAGTCTAATATTCTACCCAAGAATTCTAGGAAACTCATAGCCATCTCTTTCTCAAAAGAAAGATGTGACAAGAACTGTCTCTCAGCCCTGCTTCTTTGCCTAGTTTAGACTGGCCCATAAGGTTCTCATTTACACATTGATTTCTTGCCAACTTCATCAGTAAAAGTATAAGTTAAATAGATATTAATATGTTTATTGAGGAATGCAAAAAATCATTGCGGAATGAACCCATGGCTTTCAGAAGATTCCCTATGGGGTGGTAACTCCATAAGAACCACATACTTGCTGGGCGCCTGTGGCTCACGCCTGTAATCCTAGCTACTCAGGAGGCTGAGATCTGAGGATCCCGGTTCAAAGCCAGCCCAAGCAGGAAAGTCCATGAGACTCGTATCTCCGATAAACCACTTGAAAACTGGAAGTGGGGCTGTGGCTTAAGTGGTAGAGCATTCGCCTTGAGCTGAAGAGCTGAGGGGCTGCACCCAAGCCCAGAGTTTAAGCCCCACGACCAACCAAAAAAAAAAGAACCACATACTTAGCTGGTCGCTGGTGGCTCACACCTGTAATCCTAGATACTCAGGAAGCTGAGATCTAAGGATGAGTTCAAAGCCAGCCTAAGCAGGAAAGTTTATGAGACTCTTTATTTTCAATTAACCACCAAAAAGCCAAAAGTAGAGCTGTGGCTCAGGTGGCAGATAGAGCATTAGCCTTGAGCTAAAAAGGTCAGGGACAGCATCCAGGCCTTGAGTTCAAGCCTCAGGACTGGCACCAAAAAAAAAAAGTAGAAATATACATATACAGAGAGAGAGAGAGAGTGCATGCACACAAGCACAATGCTTAGCAATACTTAGCAAATGCTTGGGTTTTTTTTTTTTTGTTTTTTGTTTTTTTTGGGGGTGGGGGGTCTGGTTGTGGGGCCTGAACTCTGGGCCTGGGCACTGTCCCTCAGCTCTTCAGCTCAAGGCTAGCACTCTACCACTTGAGCCACAGCGCCATTTCCACCTTTTTTCTTTTTTGCTTATGTGGTGCTGAGGAATCGAACCCAGGGCCTCATGCATGCAAGACAAGCACTCTACCACTGAGCCAACTTCCCAGCCCTGGGTCAGCTTCTTAATTGCCCATGTGCAATGAGGATATATACTATATTGTTGAAATGATCTTGGGTATCTCCATCTAGTATTAAGCTACCTTAAACACTTGGGCCTTCTACATATACAGAGCATTATTTTTTGTCATTTCTAGGGGAAGTAACACCAGGAGTAACTCAAGTGGAATATGCACTTCGAAGACACAAACTAATGTCTCTGATCCATAAGGAAACCCAAGGACAGAGTGGAACAGACCACACAGTGGTTGTGCTTTCCAGCCCTACATACTACATGAGCAATGATATCCCCTACACTTTCCACCAAGACAACAACTTCCTGTACTTGTGCGGATTCCAAGAGCCTGATAGCATTCTGGTCCTTCAGAGCCTCCCTGGCAAGCAGTTACCATGCCATAAGGCCATGCTTTTTGTGCCTGGGAGAGACCCCAGTCGAGAACTTTGGGATGGTCCACGATCTGGCACAGATGGAACAATAGCCCTAACTGGAGTGGATGAAGCCTACACACGAGAGGAATTTCAACACCTACTGCCAAAACTGAAAGGTAACACATGGGAACAAGTCAAAGCTTAGACGAACTTGGGATTTAGACCTTAATTGCCTGGATAGCTTTTGATTTCCTAAAATAATCATAGCAGTTTATTATTTGTGGTGAAATAAAAACCTAGGACATCTTATTTCCCATGTGTAGTGAGATTTAGCATAAACTGATGATCTTGTATGCCCATATTAAGCTGTGACAGAGATCTGTCTTTCCTAGAAAACTGAGCTACTTCAAACATTTTACCTATACAATTGCTAAATCTTCACTAAATTTTTCATTCACAGAGACAGGTTAACCATTCTAGCTTGAAACTGGGGGATATTGAAGGAAGGGATGACATTGTCCAAATTTTACTCATGCCAGGTGCTAGTGATCACACCTGTAATCTTAGCTACTCAGGAGGCAATCTGAGGATCCATGTTGGAAGCAAGTCCCAGCAGGAACGTCTGAGAAAATTATCTCTACTAAACTTCAAAAAAAAGACAAGTATGGGCTGGGAAGGTGGCTCAGTGGTAGAGCGCTTGCCTTGCATGCCTGAGGGCCTGGATTCGATTCCTCAGCACCACATAAGCAAAAAGAAAAAAGCAGGAAGTGGCACTGTGGCTCAAGTGGTAGAGCGCTAGCCTTGAGCTGAAGAGCTGAGGGACAGCGTCCAGGCCCAGAATTCAGGCCCCACGACCGGACCCAAAAAAAAAGAGTCTCAAAAAAAAGACAGAAGTAGAGCTGTGGCTCTAGTGGTAGAGCACTAGCCTAAGCAAAAGAAGCTCAAGGACAGCACCCAGGCCCTGAGTTCAAGCCCCAGGATTAGCACCAAAAAAAAAAAAAAAAAAAGAATTGTACTTATTATCTGAGTTATGAAATGGTGACCTCTCTGTACAACACCTTAATAACAATGAAATTATATTCAAAACAAACACACAAAAAAAAATGTTCTTGCTTTGCAGCCCAGGATAGCCTCAAACTTGAGATCCTCCTGTCCCAACTTCCCAAATGCTGAGATTATGTATGTATATATAACCACCACACTTGTACCTGACCTGATAATTTCCTTCTAATGTAAAAATGGCATGAGCCATTTTTCAAGAATATTGATCAAGCTATTGACTTTGACCACTATTTCTTACCTTAATTATTATGCCATATTGCCTTTCTTTTATTTACATACTTGTTAAAACTGGTGCCAGCTCTATTAACACAGAAAATAGAATAAACTTTTTTTCGCTGGTCGTGGGGCCTGAACTCTGAGCCTGGTGCTGTCCCTGAGCTCTTCAGCTCAAGGCTAGCACTCTACCACTTGAGCCACAGTGCCACTTCCGGCTTTTTCTGCTTATGTGGTGCTGAGGAATCGAACATAGGCCCTCATGCATGCAAGGCAAGCACTCTACCACTGAGCCACCTTCCCAGCCCTAGAATAAACTTTTATGCCCTGCAAAAGTAGTTTTTCCAGGCTGGGAAGGTGGCTCAAGTGGTAGAGCACTAGCCTTGAGCTGAAGAGCTGAGGGACAGCGCCCAGGCCCAGAGTTCAGGCCCCACGACTGACCCAAAAAAAAGGAAGAAAAAAAAGTTTTTCCTGTAAAAAAGGTGGACTGAGACATGAAAACAAATCAACTGCCATACAAGCACCATAATTTTCCAACATTTTAAATGGAGGCACTATGTCATCTGCATCAGAATTATTTGGTGATGTATATTGGCGCTAGAAATATTTAATACATGTTGGGAAATGTAAAAATAAAGATTTTTCAAGTGACTCATTTACACAGTAAGATGTTAACTTTCAAATAGTTTCTCAATATTCTGGTGAAATTTTAATCACTCAATGTTTTGGAATTACTATCTTGCATCTTTGCCTATGATGTCCTGAATGGAAGCCCTTCTATGTGTACTCCTCACATAGCTGGGAAGACAGGCACACAGCACCACACCAAGTTTGTTTCTGTAGGGCTTTTTTGTTTTTGATTTTTGTTTTCTTGTCCCAGCCCCGGGGCTTGAACTCAGGGCCTGGTCACTGTACCTGAGCTTTTTTGCTCAAGGCTAGTATTCTACCACTTGAGCTACAGTGCCACTTCTCGCTTTTTTGGTAGATAAAGAGTCTCATGGGCTTTTCTGCCCAGACTGGCTTCAAACCATGATCCTTAAGTCTCTTGAGAAATAGGATCATAGGCATGTGCCAAGCCACACCCAGTTGTTGTTTTTTTGGTTCAATTGGGGGTTTTGTATAATTTTTACTATAGCTAGCCTTGAACCTTGATCCTTGTGAGTATCTAGAATCACAGGCATTTGTGTGTAATACTTAAGTAATACTTCTAAAAGTCAATAATGATGAAAGAAAGCAGTAATTGAATTTTAGCTATCATTTTATTATAAGAACTTTGAAAATTTTAGGCAGAAAATTTTTATATTCAGTGCCAGAATATCTAGCCATTTTGATTAGTCTTGCTAGTGATTTATGGTCAAACTTACCAGTTGTTGCAGACTTGAGAAAGTTTTCCTCAGCCCTTTAGTGTTCCGCAGGTTTAACAGTGTTAACTTGGTCAAGTTACACTTAGAGTTGATATTTCTTACTGCTTTTAGGGTTTTTTTGTGTTTGTTTTCAGTTTGGGGTTTGGATTTGGCTCTCCTCCTGCCCCCACCCTCTCTGGGGATGAAACCTAGGACCTCATAAAAGCAAATGTTCTGCCATTGCGCTCTTAGATTGTTGTTTTCCCTTTATTGCATTCTTTTTGTTTTGTTTTTTTTTTGGTCGGCTGTGGGGCTTGAACTCTGGGCTTGGGCGCTGTCCTTCAGCTCTTCAGCTCAAGGCAAGTGCTCTACCACTTGAGCTACAGCGCCACTTTCTGTTTTCTGGTGGTTTATTAGAGATAGGAGTCTCACGGTGTCTCCTGCCCGGGCTGGCTTTGAACCGCCATCCTCAGATCTCAGCCTCCTGAGTAGCTAGGATTACAGGCGTGAGCCACCAGCGCCCGGCTTTCTTGCATTCTTTGGTGCTGGTGGAACCCAGGACCTCAGGAGTGCTAAGCATGTATTCTACCACTGAGCTATACCTCCAGCCTCTTTTAGTTTCTTTTGTGTGTGTGTGGTGATTCTGAGATTTGAACTCAGGTTCTCACACTTGGTATGTAGGTGCTCTGTCACTTGAGCCATGCTTCCAGCCTTAAAATTATATTTTGACTTCTTATTCTAGCTGAGAACAACACTGTTTGGTATGATTGGATGAAGCCTTCTCATGCACAGCTCCATGCTGACTACATGCAGCATCTAACTGAGGCCAAATCCAGGAGTAAGAATAAGGTTCGGGGTGTCCAGCAGCTAATACAGCGCCTCCGGCTCATCAAATCTCCTGCAGAAATTAAGAGAATGCAGATTGCTGGGAAGTTGACTTCACAGGTATGACTCTAGTTGAAAAAGTTTTTCCAAATTAAAAAAGTCATAAAGTAAGGTTCAGTAGGCCCCTTGAGGTATTGTAGTAACGTCACAAGCTAATGAGCATCTAGCTTCTACTTCCATATGATTAGTAACATATGTAGAGATTCAGTACTTTACAAGGCAAAGTAAATCTGTCTTCTTGGTTTTTGTTTTTGTTTTTGTGTTTGGGTCCAGTTGTGGGGCCTGAACTCTGGGCCTGGGCCCTGTCACTCAGCTCAAGGCTAACACTGTACCACTTGAGCCACAGCACCACTTCCGGCTTTTTTCTTTTAGCTTATGTGGTGCTGAGGATTCGAACCTAGGGCCTCATGCATGCAAGGCAAGACTCTACAGCTGAGCCACCTTCCCAGCCCTCTTCTTGGTTTTTGTATGTGTATTTTTGTTTTGTTTTTGTTTTGTGGGTCATGGGGCCTGAACTCTGGGCCTGGGCACTGTCCCTCAGCTCTTCAGCTTAAGGCTGGCACGCTACCACTTGAGACACGGCACTACTTCTGGCTTTTTCTGTTTATGTGGTGCTGAGGAATCGAACCCAGGACCTCATGCATGCAAGGCAAAGCACTCTACCACTGAGCCACCTTCTCAGCCCAAATCTTGTATTCTTTTAAAATGGATCTTTTATTCAGCATTCTTAGTTTGTCCTTGAAACAACATAAATTGAGCCATTTTATTCCCATTCTTTTAGGTAACTGCACTAATAGTGACAGTTAAATAAGAGTTTAATTGCTAAAGACTCAAAGGACCCAAAATAACAGTGCTTAATCGAATCTATTACACATGTTACACATGCTCCTGAAGGACAGTGGAATTATATCCCAATAAACCCATCATAAATTGAAAATGTTGTTTATCACAAATGCATTTAAGCTGGGTGCCAATCCATTCATTATAATCCTAGCAACTCAGGAGACTGAGACCTGAGGATTGTGGTTCAAAGCCAGCCCAGGCAAGAAAATCTCTTATTTCCAATTAACTACTTGAAATCTGGAAGTGGCATTGTGGCTCAAAGTGGTAGAATGTTAGCCTTAAGCTAAGAGCTCAGGGACCGCCCAGACCCAGAATTCAAGCCCCACAACTGGGCAAGGGCAGGGAGGAGGGTCATAAGCGGGGTACCAATGGCTCACCCCTGTAATCCTAGAGACTCAGGACATTAAGATCTGAGAATCAGGGGCTGGGAAGGTGGCTCAGTGGTAGAGCGCTTTTGCCTTGCATGCCTGAGGGCCTGGGTTCAATTCCTCAGCACCACATAAGCAAAAAGATAAAAGCCAGAAGTGGCCCTGTGGCTCAAGTGATAGAGCACTAGCCTTGAGCTGAGGGACAGAGTCCAGGCCCAGAATTCAGACCCCACGACCAGACCAAAAAAAAAAAAAAGATCTGAGAATCATGGGTCAAAGCCAGCTGGGGCAGGAAAGTCTGTAAGACTCTTATCTCCATTTAAGCACCAGAAAATCAGAAGTGGTACTATAGCTCAAAGGGGTAGAACAGGCTGGGAAGGTAGCTCAGTGGTAGAGTGCTTGCCTTGCATGCCTGAGGCCCTGGGTTCGATTCCCCAGCACCACATAAGCAAAAAGAAAAAAGCCGGAAGTGGGGCTATGGCTCAAGTGGTAGAGTGCTAGCCTTGAGCTGAAGAGCTGAGGGACAGCACCCAGGCCCAGAGTTCAGGCCCCACGACTGGACCCCCCCAAAAAAAAAAAAGGGGATAGAACACTAGTCTTGGGCAAAAGAGCTTAGGAACAATGTCCAGGCCCTGAGGATTACAGGTATGAGCCACTAGCACTTGGCTTAATTGCCCATTTCTAAAGGTTGGTTTGAGCAGAACCTTAATACAAATCCTCCATCTGGTCTCAAACTCAGTGTCCTGAGTGCTGGGTGGGATTACAAGTATGTGCCACTATACCCAGCCTATCTCTGAGTATGTATGGTAGAACCTACTCCGAATCAGTTTTAGTAAACAGCTTCTCTGTGAACTGGTAAGTACATACCACACTCACCCCAGTACTATTCAAAGCCAGAGCTGTTCCTCCTTGATCCAGAATTCTCAGAAAACAGTAAACTAAGAGCTCATATAGATACTGTATAGAATAATCTAGAAAATGGCTCTTTTTTCTTTTTGGCCAATCCTGGGGCTTGTGCTCAGGGCCTGGGCACTGTCTCTGAGCTTCTTTGGCTCAAGATTAGCAGTCTACCACTTGAGCCACAGTGCCACTTCTGGCTTTTTCTGTTTATGTGGTACTGAGGAATCGAACGCAGGGCTTCATACATGCTAGGCAAGCACTCTACCACTAAGTCACATTCCCAGCCCTTCTTTTCTTAACTAAATAACAACTCCTTACTTCCATAATTTCTTACCTTCTAATATGGACTTGACACATAAATATTAATTACTGTTGTAGTTAGTCTTACAGGATTAGCTAATTCATCAGAAATGATAACAACCAGTTGCGGGCATGAGTAGCTCACACCTGTAACCTTACCTACTCGGGAATCTAAGATCTAAGGATTCTAGTTTGAAGCTATACTGGACAGACAAATTCAAGAAATGCTTATCCTTATCTTCAGTTAGCCATGAAAAAGACAAAAGTAGAGGTGAGCCTCAAGTAGTGATGCTCCAGCCTTGACCCAAAAATATGAGGCCCTGAATTCAAGTTTAAGTTCTGGCACAAAAACAAAACAAATTATAGCAGCTAGATTCTTTTGATTAGAGCTCCATCTGTTGACCATAGAGAGGAGCTCCATCTGAAGTGATACTGAGTTTCATATTTTTGTTTTGTGTTGATACTAGGGCTTGCCCTCAGGCTCAGAGCTTACTTTGAAACTGTCACTACAGGTGGTATTTAGTCAACCTGCCCCAACAATTTTTTTTGTCCGATCGGGGTCCTGAACTCTGGGTCTGGGCACTGTTCCTCAGCTCTTTAGCTCAAGGCTAGTGCTCTACCACTTGAGCCATAGTGCCACTTCTGGCTTTTTTTCTTTTTGCTTATGTGGTACTGAGGAATCGAACCCAGGGCCTCATGCATGCAAGGCAAGCACTCTACCACTGAGCCACCTTCCCAGCCCCTGAGCCACCTTCCCAGCCCCTGCCCCAAGAATTTATATTTCCTTTCTAGTTCCATTATTCTAATTCCTAAATTTTTTGGAATCCACTAATTTCAAAATAAATGCCACTTCAAGCAAAATATGGCTTGGTTCATTGGTTTATTTTGCTATCAGAAGCATTTTTTTCTGTCAAAATAATGCTTTAGCTATGTTTTAGTTTAGAATGGGTCAAGTGTGAGAAAGATAAGAAGAGAAATTTAAGCCAGGCTCTGATGGCTCATGCCTATTATCCTAGCTTCTCAGGAGGCTGAGATCTGAGGATCGTAGTTCAAAGCCAGCCCAAGCAGGAAAGTCCATAAGATTCTTATCTCCAATAAATCATAGAAAACTGGAAGTGGCACTGTGGCTCAAGTGGTAGAGCACTTGCCTTGAGCTGAAAAGCACAAGGACAGCACCCAAGCTTAGAGTTCAAACCCCACGACCGACAAAAAAAAAGGAAAAAATAAGTTACATGTGCTAGGACAACCAAATGCCCACATGCAGAAAAATGAAATTGTATCCCTATCTCATATCATATATGAAAAGTAACTCAAATTGAATTAATGACCTAACTTAAGAGCTAAAAAGCTGAGTGACAGTGGCTCATACTTGGAATCCTGGCTACTTAGGAGGCTGAGATCTGAGTATCTCCATTTGAAGCCAGCTTGGGCAAGAAAATCCATGAAACTTTTATCTCCAATAAACTACTCAGAAAAAAAAAAAAAAACAGAAACAGCATTGTGGTTCAAGTGGAAGAGCACTATCCTTGAGCATAAAGAGTCTCTAGGACAGAACCCAGACCTTGAGTTCAAGCCCTAGGACCAGGGAAAAAAAAGTTTCCAGTGAATCTTTAGTTGTCATACCAAATTCATAGGCAACAAAAGAACACCTTCATACAAATTTGAAAATTGTACATGAAAGATACTGTCAAGAAAGTTGAAAAAAGTACAGAATGGGAGAAAGTTATGTATCATATATATGATAAAGGTCTAATATCAGAATATCAAACGGCCGCATCTAATTCAACCACAAAAAGACAACTAAATTTATTAAATGAGTATTTCTCCAAAGAGTCTTTATGAAAACAAAAAGCAAAAAAGAATCTTTGGAAGGGTTGGAAGAGGGTACAGAACTCAAGGGAGAAAGGTGCGAAGTGCAGCAGTGGAGCTCGCTGGACACTGATGAAAGTGAACTGTACCACTCGCGGGTGGAGACGCAAGGGAGGGGCTGGGAGTGAGAGAATAGAAGATACCACGAAAGGAAACGTACCATTACCTGACTTGTGTAAATGTAATCCCTCTGAATACCACCCCTATAATAACGATAAATTAATTATTTAAAAAACTGCCTACATGAAAGACTATAAATTTCATATACAACAACCAAAAAAACACCTCAAAACCACAATGAGATACCACATTTCACCCACTGAAGAGGCTATTTCAAATAATAATAGGGCTGTGAATGTGGCCAAGATATGAGGATTGTGGTTCAAAGCCAGCCAGGGCAGGAAAAGTCTGTGAGACTCACTCTTATCTCCAATAAACCACTTAGAAAACCAGAAGTGGTGCTGTGGCTCAAGTGGTTGAACACCAGGCTTGAGCTGAAGAGTTGAGGGACAGCATCCAGGCCCAGAGTTCAAGCACCACGACCGACCAAAAAAAAAGAGAGAGAGAGAAATTGAAACCTTTGTACTTTCTATGGGAATGTGAAATGATTCAGTGATTCAGCCATAAGGTAGAAAAGGCCAGGTAGCTAGGCGCTGGTGGCTCATGCCTGTAATCAGGAGGCTGAGATCTAAGGATCGCGGTTCAAAGCCAGCCCGGGCAGGAGAGACCGTGAGACTTCTATCTCCAATAAACCACCAGAAAACCGGAAGTGGCGCTGTAGCTCAAGTGGTAGAGCACTCGCTTTGAGCTGAAGAGCTGAGGGACAGCGCCCAGGCCCAGAGTTCAAGCCCCACGACCAACCACAAAAAAAAAAAGGCCAGGTAAGGTGGTATAACCTGCAGGATTAGAAGCTCGTAGTGAGCCCTCATCTCAAATCATCATCAATCATCAAATGCATAGAAAGGGGTTGTCATCTACATTGGCATACTATTCAGTTCTAGGAAAGAATGAAACACTAATATGGGTTGGGTAAGCCTTGAAGTCAGTGGGCTGAGTGAGAGATTTCAGATATAAAATTCTACATCCTGAATTAATCTACATCTTGTATGATTGCATATGTAATGGCCAGATCACACAAATCCATAGAGACCAGGAAGATAAACACCAGGGGGTAAAGATGCAGGAAAATGGAAATTAAGATATGGAGTTAGAGCTGGGAAAGTGGCACAGTGGTACAGTACTTGTCTTGCATCCCTGAGGCCCTGGGTTCGATTCCTCAGCACCACACAAGTAGATAAAAGCCCCAAGTGGCACTGTGGCTCAAGTGGTAGAGCACTAACCTTGAGTTGAAGAGCTGAAGGACAGAGTTCAGGCCCCACAATTGGCCAAAAATAAATAAATAAAAGATATGGAGTTAGATGCCTTCTAGTATTCTGGGTTCTAAAGCCAGATACACTAAAGTGGCAGCTAAACAGCATTCAGAAGTTTAGTTGTGCATGCCTCTAATCCAGTATTCAGGAAGCTGAGGTAGAAGGATTGTTGAGTACCAAGACCTTGTCTCCAAACCCCAAAAATTAAAAGAAAATTATAATTATCATCCAGGCATTGGTAGCTCACCCTCATAATACTAGCTACTCAAGAGGCTGAGGTCTGAGGATTGCGGTTTAAAGCCAGCCCGGACAGGACAGTCTGTGAGACTTTTTTTTTTCCCCCTGATCCTGGGGCTTGAACCTGGGCCTGGACACTGTCCCTGCTCCTTTTGCTCAAGCTAGTGCTCTACCATTTGAGCCACAGCTTTTACTCTGATTAATTGGAGATAAGAGTCTCACAGAGGCTGGGAAGGTAGCTCAGTGGTAAAGCGCTTGCCTTGCATGCATGGGGCCCTGGGTTCCATTCTTCAGCATCACATAAGCAAAAGAAAAAAGCCAGAAGTGGTGCAGACAGTGCCCAGGCCCAGAGTTCAGGCCCCACAACCGGACCCAAAAAAAAAAAGAGTCTCACAGACTTTCCTGCCTGGGCTGGCTTTGAATCAAGATCCTCCTATCTCAGGCTCCTGAGTAGCTAGGATTATAAGCATGAATCACCAGAACCCAGCTGAAAGACTCTGTTGTTGTGGTGGTTGTTGTGGTTGTTGTTGTGGTTGGGGGCTTGAAATTGGCCTAGGCACTGTCCCTCAGCTCTTCATCCCAAGGCTAGCATTCTACTACTTGAGCCATAGTGCCACCTCCGGCATTTTCTGCTTATGTGGTGCTGAGGAGTTGAACCCAGGGTCTCATGCATGCAGGGCAAGCACTCTACCACTGAACCACCTTCCCAGCTGCCGAGAGACTCTTATCTCCACTACATTACCAAAGCCAGAAGTAGAGCTGTGGCTCAAAGTTAGTGGAGCACAAAGGAGTTCAGGGATAGTACCCAGACAGCGAGTTAAAGTTAGAGGATGAGCACCAAAAGAAAAAAAAATCAGTTACTAATATGAGGATATAGATCCTCCTACCTATTCCACAATCTCAACTGCAGGGGTAGTATAGGTAGGAGAATGAATTTTAAAAAAGATAATCCAATAAATCAAAAAAGGGCCAGCAGTGTGCCTCTCGTTTCTTGCGCAGCAAAAGTGAGGATCTGATTCAAGTTCCAGGACCAACAGAAAAATACATTGGTGTGATTATCATGCAGAATTAGTAAACATATTATTAGAGACCAGTGGTTCTCAGTTAGAGAAATACTTTCTTCCCTCGGGGACATTTTGGCAATGTGTGGTGGTCACAATTGCAGGATGCCACTGACATTCTGAATTAAACAGGACTATAGCCCACAAGAAAGAATTATCTGTCCCTAAATGTCAGAATTACTGAGTTTAGGAGCCCCTGCTACACAGACCAGACCACTCAGTCAGTAATTTCATATACTCAAGCTATAAAAGCATCTCATTAAATAAATGGAAAGTTTGTGTCTTAGTCAGAAAGTGACTTATTTCCAAACAGTTCTCCTGGAGGATAGAAAATATATGATAAAGGTGGCAGGTGGATGGTGTCATCTAGGGTCTTAAATGGCAGGAGGGATGGTAAGAAGGAATGCTGTTCCCTGTTGGCTGGAAAGGGCTGACCTCACTTTCTCCAGCCCTTGGGGGGGGGTGGGGAGGTTCACACACATCGTGCTCACTAGCCCTGGGGCTTGAAATCAGCTTTTTTTGCTCAAGACTAGTGCTCTGCCACTTTGAGCCATAACACCACTTCTGGCTTTTTGGTGGATAATTAGAGATCAGAGTCTCAGGGACTTTCCTTCAAACCACAGTCCTCAGGTCTCAGCCTTCTGAATAACTAGAAGTACAGGCGTGAGCCACCAACACCTAGCTATCTCCAGTACTTTTTAAAAGTTGCTTATCCCATCCATGAGGGCATAGACCTCACTCCTGAATTTGTTCCCAACAGGCCTAGACTACAGTGGAGATAAAGTTTGAACAGGAGGTTTGCATGGAACATGAAACAGTTTCAGCCATAGCATAGCACTTCCCAGGTGCTTTATTCTAGTATGACGTGTATTTTGAGTGGAAAAATGAGATGTGAATTCTATCGTCAGTCAAATATTCTGGAGAACAATATTCTGTCCCTCCTTCCAGACAAAATAATTTGTATTATGCTCATTTAGTTACAACTTCAGGTTAACAAAGCTGGGTGGAAGTGTTTATTATTTGAATTCCAGTATTAGTTGAATGTTGGAGTATGCAACATAGTTAAAATGAATATTTGGTCCTCCCTTTCTCTTCAGGCTTTCATAGAGACCATGTTTGCCAGCAAAGCCCCTGTGGAGGAAGCCTTTCTTTATGCTAAGGTGAGCCTCAGATCATGGAGAGGGTCTTGCTGGGGAAGAATGTGATTTCATTGGTTTACAGCATATTTTGAACAATCAGGTTTTCATTCTATTAGAGGATTCAGGTCTCAGAGGTTACTGGCACTTATTAGATGAATCTAAAACATGCAGAATTAGAGTTAGAGGAAGAAAACCATGAAGGGCAGCTGATGAAGAAGGAAAGATTCAATGTGTGAAATAATAAAACTGAAACTTTCATTTAATATAAAGGTCGTGCATGGGTACTAGCAGTGGAACTGTTACTGGAGCACAGTGAATTTAGCTATTTGAAAAGCTAATTTAGGAAGTAGACATCAACAGATCTTGATTTGAGATCAGGCCCAGACACAACGTTCACAATATTACATTTCAGCCAATAGTTGTCATCCCAAGATAAGGGGCTGGGCCGGGTGAATCATACCTGTAACTCCAGTGACAAAGGGAAGCACAACAGGACCACAATGCTGGCTGGCCTGTGCATGAAGCGAAATCTCACCTCAAAAATAACCAATGAGCCGGACACCGATGGCTCACGCCTGTCATCCTAGCTACGCAGGAGGCTGAGATCTGAGGATCACGGTTCAAAGCCAGCCCAGGCAGGAAAGTCCGTGAGACTCTTATCTCCAATAAACCACTAGAAAACCAGAAGTGGTGCTATGGCTCAAGCGGTAGAGTGCTCGCCTTGAGCTGAAGAGCACAGGAACAGCACCCAAGCCCAGCGTTCAAGCCCCATGACCAACCAAAAAAAAAAAAGAAAGAAAAATAACCAATGATTCTGGAGTAATTAGTATGTTATTTTATATGATAATCCCCTATGCAGCCTTGCTTGATTTCCTCAGGTTTGTACTGTTATTAAAAGCATATTGTGAGCCAGTAGCTCATACCTATAATCCTAGCTACTCAAGAGGCTAAGATCTGAATATCAAGGTTCAAAGCCAGGCAGGAAAGTCCATGAGACTCTTACCTCCAGTAAACCACTAGAAAACTGGAAGTGGCTCCATGGCCCAGAATGCTAGCCTTAAGTGAAAAAGCTCATAGACAGGATCCAGGCTCTGAGTTCAAGTCCCACAACCAACAGAAAATAATATAACAAAAAAAAGTATAATAGACAGGGCTGGGAAGGTGGCTCAGTGGTAGAGCGCTTGCCTTGCATGCATGAGGTCCTGGGTTCAATTCCTCAGCACCACATAAGCAGAAAAAGCTGGAAGTAGAACTGTGGCTCAAGTGGTAGAGTGGTAGCTTTGAGCTGAAGAGCTGAGGGACAGCACCCAGGCACAGAGTTCAGGCCCCACCACCGAACCCAAAAAAATAAAAAATTTTTTAATTAAAAAAAATATATATACTAGAATGGGTCAAGTGGTAGAGTGCCTACTGAACAAGCATGAGGCCCTGAGTCCAAACCCACTTCTACCCCCTTTCCAAAAGTAAATATAAGCCATATTTAGCTTAAGCAGGAAATACAGAGAACTCAAAAGAAAAAGGATTTAATGATAAGGCTAACTGGTAATAGAATAGTATGCATAGAATAGATTGTAGTACATAGGTTAGAGTTGTAGAAAATGGGATGAAGTTGCAGAATGACGAGTTTGGGAAATGTGATGACTGACTGCAGTGATGACTAACAGTAAGCTCTAGTGTCAGGGACAGGCCAGGCAAGACAGCCTGGGCTGAGCAGCCCCACAGAAATCCAAAATTGTCTCAGACCTTTTTGTTTTTCAGTTTGAATTTGAATGCCGGACTCGAGGCGCAGACATCCTGGCCTACCCACCTGTGGTTGCTGGTGGTAACCGCTCAAACACTTTGCATTACGTGAAAAATAATCAACTCATCAAGGTATAAAAAATGCCCTGCTTTGCTGCTTCCAAAAGGTCCAAATGCCCTAAGAGAAACTAGCTTCTACAAATGAACCACCATTTAAAAAACACTTCCGCCAGCTGATCATGCCTGTAATCCTAGCTACACAGGAGGATGAGACGTAAGGATCCCAGTTCAGTCAGCCCAGTCAGGCAGTAAAGTCCATGAGACTCTTTATCTCCAATTAACCACCAAAAAGCCAGAAGTGGAATTGTAGCTCATGTAGTAGAGTACTAGCCTTGGGCAAAAAAGCTCAGGGACAGTATCTAGTTGCTGAGTTCAAGTCCCGGGAACAGCGCACACACACGCACGCACACACACACGCACATGCACGCGCGCCAAAAAAAAGCCAGGCACTGGTGGCTCATGCCTGTAATCCAACTTTTTTTTTTTTTTTTGGTCAGTTGTGGGGTCTGAACTCTGGGCTTGGGCGCTGTCCCTCAGCTCTTCAGCTTAAGACTAGCACTTTACCACTTGAGCCACAGCGCCACTTGCAGCTTTTTTTTTTTTTTTTCTGCTTATGTGGTGCTGAGGAATCTAACCCAGGGCCTCATGCATGCAAGGCAAGTGCTCTACCACTGAGCCACCTTCCCAGCCCCGAATCTAACAGTTTTAACCACCAGAAAACTGGAAGTGGCGTTGTAGCTCAAGTAGGAAAGCGCTAGCCTTGAGCTGAAGAGCTGAGGGACAGCACCCAGAGTTCAAACCCCACGACCGACAAAAAAAAAAAGTTTGGGGGTGTGGGTCAAGTGGTAGCAAATGCAAGGCTCTGAGTTCAAACTCTAATAGTGTTTTTTAAAAAAAATTAGAACTTTTGCAAACAAAATCATATTTTAGACTAGAAGAAATAATGTAGAATGGTGAGATCACCCACTTCCACCTTTCATAATTTTCTCTAGGATGGTGAAATGGTGCTTCTGGATGGAGGTTGTGAGTCTTCCTGCTATGTAAGTGACATCACACGCACCTGGCCTGTCAATGGCAGGTAGGACTTCTACTACAGAGTAACACTTGTACTGCTCTTTCTGGGTTGGTGTTAGAATATGGATATATACAGAATAAATTACTAAAAAAACCAACTAGGCTATTTATAGGTCAGATTAACCCTCTCTGCAAAGATCCAGATTACATTCCAAACTGCTTATCATAAAACTGTTAGGTACCTAGAAACACTAAACACTCACACATTTTGGGGGGGGGGGAGGTGGGGGTCCGGTTGTAGGGTCTGAACTCGGGGCCTGGGCGCTGTCCCTCAGCTCTTCAGCTCAAGGCTAGCGCTGTAACCACTTGAGCCATAGCACCACTTCCAGCTTTTTTTCTTTTTGCTTATGTGGTGCTGAGGAATCAAACCCAGGGCCTCATGCATGCAAGGCAAGCGCTCTACTACTGAGCCACCTTCCCAGCCCTCACACATTTTTTAAGTTAACTATGAAGTACTTTTTTCTCTTATGATTACAAAGGTAATATTTACAGAATGGTAGAATTTTTTGGTTAGGGCAGGCGCTGGAGGATTACACCTGTAATCCTGGTTTCTCAGGAGGCTGAGATCTGAGGATCAAAGTTCCAAGCCAAACTGGGCAGGAAAATTTGTGAGACTCTCATTTCCACTAAACTACCAAAAAAAAAAAAAAAACAAATGGATCTGTGGCTCAGGTGGTAAAGTGCTAGCCTTGAGCAAAAGAAGTTCAAGGAGCCGGGTGCCAGTGGCTGATGCCTATAATCCTAGCTACTCAGGAGGCTAAGATCTGAGGATCATGGTTCAAAGACAGCCCGGGCAGGAAAGTCCATGAAACTCTTATCTCCAATAAAAACCACCAGAAAACTGGAAGTGGACACTGTAGCTCAAGTGGTAGAGCACTAGCCTTGAGCTGAAGAGCTGAAGGACAGCACTCAGGCCCAGAGTTCAAGCCCCATTACTGACCAATAAGAAACCCAAAAAACTCAAGGACAGCGCCCCAGGGCCTGAGTTCAAACCCCGGTACCAGTACCAAAAAAAAACTCTTTGGTTGAATTAAGCCTGATAGATTTAAATACTGGAAGAATCAGAAAGATGGGAGAGAAATCCTTGGAAGATAAGGAACCACTAAAGAATCTGAGTCCCAAAAACTATATAGTACAGCCAGAAATCCTTTAGTGATTTCTAATTGGTTGGAGAGTCCTCAGGAGACTGAAAACAATACCAGCATCTGGAAGCTGAATAAACCTGAACAGAGATTTTTATTGCTTCCATTGAGAGCAGAGTACATAGTTTGAATCCAGGCAGGGAGGTACTGATAGCTCACATTTGTAATACTGGCAAAAAAAAAAAAAAAGCCTAGAGACAGTATTGAAGCCCTAAATTCAAGCTCCAGTACCAGTACCAAAAAAAAAAAAAAAAAGAACAATTTTCACTCAGCTGTCATCCTAACTATATAGAAGGCTGAAATCAGAACTGACTTTTCAGGTAGAAAAATATGCCGGGCTCCATCTCCATGGAAAGAAGCTGAGTGTGATGTTCAACACTTGTCATCCCAGCTACTCTGGGAAGCAAACAATAAGATTGCAATAGAGATTCCTGAAGCAAGTCCAACCCTATCTCAAACATCTTCCTATATAAATATAATCTATCTATGTGTACATATCCAGGTATAGATTATAGATACATACTACCATGCCCAGCTTTTGTTTATATTGTTATAATATTTAATGGTTATATTTTTGGAGGACACTTAACCACCTGTCTAAAATTTTCAAATTATAAGCTAAGTACCAGCAGCTCACACCTATAATCATAACTACTCAGGAAGCTGAGATCTGAGAATCACAGTTCAAAGCCAGCCTAGGTAAGAAAGTCTGTGAGACTCATCTCTAATAAACTACTCAGAAAAAGCTGGAGGGCTGGGAAGGTAGCTCAGTGGTGGAATGCTTGCCTTGCATGCATGAGGTCCTCGGTTCGATTCCTCAGCACCACATAATCAGAAAATGCCAGAAGTGGCGCTGTGGCTCAAGTAGTAGAGCATCAGCCTATAGCACAAAGAGGCTCAGGCATAGCACCTCGGCTCTGAGTTCAAGCCCCAGGACTAGTAGAAAAAAAAATTTTTTTTCAAATTATAAAAAGAACAGCAGGGCTGGGAATGTAGCTTAGTGGTAGAGGGTTTGCCTAGCATCCATGAAGCCCTGGGTTCGATTCCTCAGTACTACATAAACAGCCAGAAGTGAAGCAGAGTGGTAGAGGCTAACTTTGAGCACAGAGATGCTCAGGGACAGATTCTAGGTCCTGAGTTCAAACCCCAGGACCAGCCAAAAAAAAAAATCATGGCCAGGCACTGGTGACTCTTACCTATAAACCTACTACTCAAAGAGACTGAGATATGAGAATTGTGGTTTGCAGCTAGCCTGAGCAACAAACTATAAGACTTATCTCCAATTAAGTGCAAAAAAAAGAAAACGAACCCAGAAATGGAGCTGTGGCTCACCTGGTAAAGCTCAGGAGCTTTGCCCAGGCCCCGAGTTCAAGCCCCAGAATCAGCACCCAAAAAAAAGAAGCCATCATGGTGATTTTTTTTTTTTGGTGATTTTTTTTTTTTTGGTGGGACTTGAAGCCTGGGCCTGGGCACTGTCCCTTAGCTCTTCAGCTCAAAGTCAATGCTCTACTACATGAGTCACAGCACCACTTCTGGTTTTCTGGTAGTTTATTACGGATAAGAGTCTGAGTTTCCTGGGCTGGGAAGGTGGCTCAGTGGTAGAGTGCTTGCCTTGCATGCCTGAGGCCCTGGGTTCGATTCCTTAGCACCACATAAGCAAAAAGGAAAAAGCCGGAAGTGGTGCTGTGGCTCAAGTGGTAGAGTGCTAGCCTTGAGCTGAAGAGCTGAGGGACAGCGCCCAGGCCCAGAGTTCAGGCCCCGTGACCGGACCCAAAAAAAAAAGTCTGAGTTTCCTGCCTGGGCTGGCTTTGAACCAAGATCCTCATATCTCAGCCTCCTGAGTACCTGAGATTATAGGCATGAGCCACTTGAACATTTTTTGGGGGGAGGGGGTTTAGTTGTGGGGCCTGAACTCTGGGCCTGGGCGCTGTCCCTCAGCTCTTAAGCTCAAGGCTAGTGCTCTACCACTTGAGCCACAGCCACTTCCAGCTTTTTTTTTTCTTTTTTCTTTTTTTTTTTTTTTTTTTTTTTTTTTTGCTTATGTGGTGCTGAGGAATCAAACCCAGGGCCTCATGCATGCAAAGCAAGCGCTCCACCACTAAGCCACCTTCCCAGCCCCTGCTTGAACATTTTTGTACATTAAATTTTTTTTTTTTAGTTAAAATGACAACAGTGCTCTATTGTCATGAGCCTGAAATTGTTCTAATCAAACAGAAACAAATTTATATAATATAAGACTATTCTGAACTCATTTTTTTTTTTCTTGTCCTCAGATTCACCTCACCTCAGGCAGAACTCTATGAAGCTGTTCTAGAGATCCAGCGAGGCTGTCTGAGCCTCTGCATGCCTGGGACAAGCTTGGAGAACATCAACAGCTTGATGCTGACACTGATGAGTCAGAAGCTAAGAGAGCTGGGCATTGTGAAGAGCAGTATGGAAAATGCATTCAAGGTGCTTCACTATTCTTGATTCCAGTTCTCAAGAACACCTAGTACACTGCCAAGTTATTACCCTGTATCACAAAGCTAAGTAGATTTAAAATAGTCTGCAATTCTTTATGAGGGACTTGGTTTAACATGGATTAAAACAAAGGAAGTAGTTACTTATTTCTCCCAGAAGATGGCAGCACATTGTGATTCTTGCCTATAGCATAGCCAGCCAGCTCAATATTCAGAAAACATGAAATGAAGTCTAGTACAGACAAGGTAGGATGCTAAGGACACAAAAAAGGTTAACAATCTCATGTGATTCTAGAGGCCACAGGAAGACGATTATTGTTTTAGTAACAGTGCTTAGTATGATCAAAGACCATTTTATTTGCATTCTATATGTAATGGCCAAAGGTTGGTGGCTCACACCTATAACACTAACTTCTCCAGGCTAAGATCTGAGGATCTAGGTTTGAAGCCAACCCAGGGAAGCAAAGCCCATGAGATTTTTTTCCCCCCAGTCCAAGGGCTTGAACTCTGGGTCTAGGTGCTGTCACTGAGTTTTTGTGCTTTAAGGCTAGTGCTCTACCGTGTGAGCTACAACTCCACTTCTGGCATTTTGTGGTTAACTGGAGATAAGAGTCTCATAGACTTTTCTGCTTGGGCTGGCTTTGAACCGTGATCCTCAGATCTTAGCCTCCTGAGTAGCTAAGACTACTAGAGTGAGCCACCATCGCCTGGCACCATGAGACTCTTATCTCCAATTAAACAACAAAAAGCCAGATGTGGATCTCTGGCTCAAGTGGTAGAGCACTAATCTTGAACACAAAAGCTCAGGGACAGCACCTAGGCACTGAATTAAAGCCCCAGAACTGGCACAAAATAATAATAATAAAGTTAAGATGCCAAGTGCTAGCCAAACAGACCATTTAGCATCTTCTGCCTTCAAGCTCAGTCTCTCAGACTCCTATTAGCAATGGAAAAGAAGCTGAAAGGATGAGAAGGTGTCTCAGTGATAGAGCACTTGCCTTGCATGCATGAGGTCCTGGGTTCATTTCCTTAGTACCACATAAGGAGAAAAAGCCAGAAGTGGTGCTGTGACTCAAGTGGGAGAGCACTAGCCTTGAGATGAAGAGCTGAGGGACAGTGCCCAGGCCAAGTTCAGCTGTGACTGACCAAAAAAAAAAAAAGCTGAAAATTCCCTGTTATTCAATCCAAGAAATCCTTCATTAACTGATAGAAGCTTTTTTGTTTTGTCTTGTTTTATTTTTTTTTTATTTATTTATTTTGGGGGGGGGGGGGGTCCGGTCGTGGGGCCTTAACTCTGGGCCTGAGCGCTGTCCCTCAGCTCTTCAGCTCAAGGCTAGTGCTCTACCACTTGAGCCGCAGTGCCACTTCCGGCTTTTTTCTTTTTGCTTATATGGTGCTGAGGAATCGAACCCAGGGTCTCATGAATGCAAGGCAAGCGCTCTACCACTGAGCCACCTTCCCAGCCCCAGTTCCAGTATTTTGAGTGATTATTTGGAAATCAGAGTCCCACAGGGACTTTTCTCCCTAGTCTGGCTTCAAACCATGATCTCAGCCTTCTGAGTAGCTAGTAGCTAGTATTATAGGCGTAAGCCACCTGCACCAGTCTCAAGAACTATTTTCTGCTGCAGTGGCTCATGCCTATAATCCTAGCTACTCAGAATCAGAGGGTCACAGTTCAAAGCCAGTCCAGGCAAGAAAGTCCATGAGACTCTTATCTCCAATAAACCACTAGAAAACCAGAAGTGGCGCTGTGTCTTGAGCAGTAGAGCGCTCGCCTTAAGCTGAAGAGCACAGGGACAGCGCCCAAGCCCCTAGTTCAAGCCCCACGACTGACCAAAAAAAAAAAGTGGCAAGACTATGGGGGAGAGATTAACACATTTCTCACTGACTTATTCATGCCTTACTTTCCCATAAGACATCATTGTTCTAAAAATGCTGTATAATTCTTCCAGGTTGCTCGAAAATACTGCCCTCACCATGTTGGCCATTACCTTGGGATGGATGTGCATGACACTCCAGATATGCCCCGTTCCCTCCCACTGAAACCTGGTATGGTGATCACAGTTGAGCCAGGTAAGGAGGGGTCTTAGCAGATCTGACCTGGGCACAGGGAATACTATCAAGTGGTTTTAACTAGAACTAACATAATTAAAAGAAACACCAGCCAGGCACCAGAGGCTCACGCCCGTATTCCTAGCTACTCAGGAGGCAAGATCTGAGGATCATGGTTCAAAGCCAGCCCGGGCAAGAAAGTCCGTGAGACTCTTATCTTCAATAAAGGTTCTAGAAAACCGGAAGTGGCACTATGGCTCTAGCAGTAGAGCACGTGCCTTGAGCTGAAGAGCTGAGGGACAGCACCCAGGCCCAGAGTTCAAGCCCCATGACTGACCAAAAAAAACACCAAGGGCTAGGAAGGTGGTTCAGTGGTAGAGTGCTTGCCTTATATGCATGAGGCCCTGGGTTTGATTCCTCAGCAACACATAAGCAGAAAAAGCTAGAAGTGGCGTTGTGGCTAAAGTGGTAGAGTGCTTGCCTTGAGCTGAAGAGCTGAGGGACAGTGCTCCAGCCCAGAGTCAGGCCCCATGACTGACAAAAAAAAAAAGAAAGAAACACCAAGAAAAGTCTCTTCAATGTTAGAAGAGAACTTTGTTTTGGACTTAACATCAGACAGTTTGTTTTCATTGATTCCAATAAATCCCAGATGGTGAATATTTTCTATAAGTAGATATTAAAAAGTAAGTTTATAATCCTGCCTTTGCCAAGGTCCATTTGTATTAATCTCCCAGTTAGTAGTAGAGGTTTCTTGAACTTCCAGAGGCAAGTGTGTGTAGACAAGAGGCAACAAAAACTCACTGTGTGTCCAGTGCAACATCCCTGCCAACTTCAGCATTGTCCTATCCTTTTTTTCTGAAATAGGGTCTTCCTTGTGTAGCCAGGCTGCCCATGAACTCTCCATCCTCCTGCTCAGCCTCCTCTGCATACTAGGATTATAGCTATACACTATCATACCCAGCTCTACCAAGTCCTCTCTCATAAGCATCAAAAAACCTGGTAATTGAATAGGTCATCTCACTGGAGTAAGGCTAGCTTTGGGGAAGAATGCCAAAGCCAACTTGGTGGCAACAGTGAGCTACAAAGATAGATGCCATGAGAGTTGATTTTTTTTTTTTTTTTTTGGGGGGGTCCGGTCATGGGGCCTGAACTCTGGGCCTGGGCGCTGTCCCTCAGCTCTTCAGCTCAAGGCTAGCGCTCTACCATTTGAGCCATAGCACCACTTTCAGCTTTTTTTTTTCTTTTTTTTTGCTTATGTGGTGCTGAGGAATCGAACCCAGGGCCTCTGGCATGCAAGGCATGTGCTCTACCACTGAGCCACCTTCCCAGCCCCTGATTTTTTTTTTTGTATGTGTGCTCCAATCCTGGGGCCTAGGTGCTGTCCCTGAGCTTTTTTGCTCAAGGCCAACAGTCTACTGCTTGAGCTCCGGGTATGGTTTTTTGTTGTGGTGGTGGTTTAATTGGAATAAGAGTCTACCCAGGCTGGTTTCAAACCTCAATCCTCAAATCTCAGTAGCTCCTAGCTACTGACACCTAGAAAAGTTCTTTTTTGTTGTTGGTGGTGGTGGTGGTGGTGGTGGTCATGGGGCTTGAACTCTGGGCCTGGGCACTGACCCTCAACTCTTCAGCTCGAGGCTAGTGCTTTGCCACTTGAGCCATAGCCACTTCCAGCTTTTTCTATTTATGAGGTGCTGAGGAATTGAACCCAGGGCTTCATGCATGTGAGGCAAGCACTCTACCACTGTCCCAACTTCCCAGCCCCACTAAGTTGTTTTTTTTTTTTTTTTGATCATGGGGCTTGAACTCTGGGCTTGGGCGTTGTCCCTGCGCTCTTCAGCTCAAGGCTGAGCTACAGCACCCCTCCCATTTTCGAGTGGTTTATTGGAGATGAGAGTCTCTTGGACGTTCTTTTTTTTTTGGGGGGGGCGTCTGGTCATGGGGCCTGAACTCTGGGCTGGGCGCTGTCCCTCAGCTCTTAGCTCAAGGCTAGCACTCTACCACTTGAGCCACAGCGCCACTTCCGGCTTTTTTCTTTTTGCTTATGTGGTGCTGAGGAATCGAACCCAGGGCCTCAGGCATGCAAGGCAAGTGCTCTACCACTAAGCCAACTTCCCAGCCCCGGTACCTGAGCTTTTTTGTTTAAGTCTAGTTCTCTATCATTTGAGCCACAGCTCCACTTCTGGATTTTTTTGAGTAGTTAATTTGAGATGAGTCTCACAGACTTTTTAAAGCCTGGGCTGGCTTCAAACCATGATCCTCAGATCTCAACCTTCTGAGTAACTAGAATTACAGATATGAGCTACTGGCACTTAGCTGTTGAATTTACTTATCAGGTATTTTATTAGGGATTTTTTACATCTATGTTTTATCAGATTTTTTTTTTTGGGGGGGGTCCGGTCATGGGGCCTGAACTCTGGGCTTGGGCGTTGTCCAGCTGTTCAGCTCAAGGCTAGCACTCTACCACTTGAACCACAGCACCACTTCCGGCTTTTTTCTTTTTGCTTATGTGGTGCTGAAGAATCGAACCCAGGGCCTCAGGCATGCAAGGCAAGCGCTCTACCACTCAGCCACTTTCCCAGCCCAGAGATTGGTTTATAACCATCTTGTTTTGTTTTGTTTTGTTTTGTTTTGTTTTTTTCCATTTGAGAGCAGGACTTGCTTTCACTCATTGGCTGGTATTGTATCAACTCTACAGACCTCTAAACCTTGTCCTTTTTTTATCTTTTGATTATTGATTTCAACACTGTAATAAATCCACAAATAAAGCGGGCTTACTGTGACTTGCTTCCCTGAATAGACATAGCCATAAATCAAGTAACTTTAGTAGCCTGCTTGAACACTAGAATATGACAGTCATGATTAACGTTATCTGTTGTTGTATGGAGCCTGTGGTTTAGTGTATAAAATGACCATAATAGTATTAATTCTAAGTCAAGCGCTGGTGGCTCACATCTGTAATCCTAGCTATTCAGGAGGCTGAGATCTGAGGATCACAGTTCAAAGCCAGCCTGGGCAGAAAAGTCCGTGAGACTCTCATCTCCAATAAACCACTAGAAAACAGGAAGTGGTACTGTGGCTCAAGGGGTAGAGCACTTGCCTTGAACTGAAGAGCTGAGGGACAGTGCCCAGGCCAAGTTCAAGCCCCCACGACTGACAAAAAAAAAAAAATTATTAATTCTAGTAACCATAGCCAACTTTGTTGATCATTATGTACCAGGCTTTGTTAGAAGCATGTCATTTAGGCCGGGCACCAGTGGTTCACACCTGCGGCCCTAGTTACTCAGGAAAATGAGATCTGAGGATTGTAATTCAAAGCCAGCTCCAGGCAAGAAAGTCCATGAGACTCATCTCCAATTAACTACCAAAAAGTTGGAAATGGAGCTGTGGCTCAAAATATTAGAGCACTAGTCTTGAGCATAAAAACTCAAGGACAGTGCCCAGGCCTTGAATTGAAGCCCCAGGACCAGCAGGGCGGGGAAGGAGAGGGGAACAAGTGTTTAAACCTAACAACTCTGTCAGGTAGCCTTTTTTGTTTTGTTTTGTTTTGTTTTGTTTTGTTGTTTTTGAGTCCGGTTGTGGGGCCTAAACTCTGGGCCTGGGCGCTGTCCCTCAACTCTTCAGCTCAAGGCTAGCGCTCTACCACTTGAGCCACAGCACCACTTTGGGCTTTTTTCTTTTTGCTTATGTGGTGCTGAGGAATCGAACCCAGGGCCTCATGCATACAAGGCAAGCACTCTACCACTGAGCCACCTTCCCAGCCCCGCCTTTTTTTTTTTTTTTTTCCCCCAGTCCTGGGCCCTGAACTCAGATCCTAGGCACTGTCCCTGAGCTTCTTTTGCTCAAGGCTAGCACTCTACCAGTTGAGCCACAGTGCTACTTCGTTTGTGTTTATGTGGTACTAAGGAATTGAACCCAGGACTTCATACATGCTGGCAAGCACTCTACCAGTGAGCCACATTCCCAGCCCTCAGGTAGCCATATTGAGGACCCAATCTGCAGGTAAAGGAATTGTCACCCATCAAGATTGACCCCGCTGCTGATACCATCATTGCTGAACCACCCTCTCTTCTCTGGTTCTCAGGTATTTATATTCCAGAGGATGACAGAGATGCACCAGAGAAGTTCCGGGGACTTGGTGTCCGAATTGAAGATGATGTAGTGGTGACTCAGGACTCACCTCTCATCCTTTCTGCAGATTGTCCCAAAGAGATAAGTGACATTGAACAGATCTTCAGCAAGACCTCTTGACTCCCACAGCAGCCCGAAAGCATCTCAGGTTCAAGAGGGGTGTCCTGGCGCCGCTGCATGTGCATTGAGTTGCTGTATTTGTCTATACATGCTCCCTGTGGGAGGGTAGCAGCACACCTGGCTTTTTCATTTTCAGTAGCTAGAAATCTGGGAAAGCAAACTTTGGAACGATTTGTTACTGCAGCTACCAACATTAATTCTGTAGAATTAATGATCTAAGTGAGTTTAATTTTTAAACAGAAAATAAGGTCTCAATTACATTTGTCCATGCATTCCAACTGACACTTTAAACATGGAAAATTCTCTTTTGAGTCTTTCTTTTTGTACTTAATATCACTTTTCTGAAATCCACTTAGATGTTTGTTTGATGCCTATATTTTGGAACTAATCACCAGCGTCTTTGCTATGCCATGCTAAAAACTATGTCAGTGGATTTTCACTTACATACCTTCCTTTACTTCTTCCTGCCTCCACAAGATTCTGCATATCTACCAGGACCACGTAGTCATCTGGATAACTGACATCACTCAGTCCTACCATTCAGCCACAGTCCAAATTGCAGCAGCCTAGCTTTCCAGCAAAGCAGATTTGAGCCTTTCTTGCCCTTGGTTACCTGGGACTTGGATAGTGTTGATTGTTCAAAAGGAAGAAATAAAAGATTTTTTAAAATATATATGTATCTACTACTCTAAGTCTAGACCTCCAGCCATCTGTTCTCTCTGGTATAAAGATGGTGCCTTTCCCACACATCCATGCTTCCTTCATTTTTTTGTTTGTTATGGGGGAGGGGTGCATTGATTTTCATTTGATTTTAGTTTTTGCAGTGTTAGGGATCAGATTCAGGGCCTTCCCTGTGTTCTACCACTGTTCCCCCACTGAACTAGACCTCAACCCTTGATTTTTTTTTTTTTTTTTTTGAGAGTCTTGGTATGTTGCTTAGGCTGGCTTTGAACTCTCTGTATCCCAGGCTAGCCTCAAACTCAATCTTCCTACCTCCACTTCTCAAGTGTTGAGGTTACTATGTTGATGAGTTCCCTTCTTTCCTTTTTACTTTACTTTCTTTTCCCACTTTTTTTCTTTTGTTTGAGACAGGGTCTTGCTATGTTTCCCAGGCTAGTCTTGAACTCATGGGCTAAAGTGATCCTCCCACCCACCTCAGCCTCTGAGCAACTGGGACTACAGTGTTTACCTCTGTACCCGATTCCTTCACCAGTTCTTTAATGCACTGACGCTTCCAGGTCATCCTTAACGCTACTTCTTTGGCCCAGAGCACATCTGTTTACCTTGTTATAGTCAGAGTAGTAACACTCAATTTTCATAGAAAAACCCCAGTTCTGTGATTTTTTTTTCTTTTTTTTGTGCTAGCACTAAGGCACTTGAACTCAGAGCCTCACACATACACTGGTGCTTTACCACTTAAGCCACCCTCCATTTCTTTTGAAATTTTCTGTTCAGGCTAGATTCAAACCACAGTCCTCAGCTCTCAGCCTCCTCAGTAGTTAGGATTATAGGCATGAGCCACCATCCCCCAGCTCTGGGACTTCCTAATAAAAACAAAATATAGAAGTCCCCAAGTACCTATAAACATCTTACCCTTTCTCTTAGGTTAGCTCTGGAAGGGCAGTGGCAGTCATGTTTCTGTAAGCACTGCATCAGATGGGATTATGTAAAACTCAATTTGCATGGCAAACAGAGCTAGATTATTACAGTAGTTTGTTCAGAAGCTTTTATGTAAGGGGAATCCCTAAGAACCACTGTATTTACCTCCCTTAAAATTGAATATGGGAGCCGGGCGCTGGTGACTCATGCCTGTAATCCTAGCTACTCAGGAGGCTGAGATCTGAGGATTACGGTTCAAAGCCAGCCCGGGCAGGAGAGACCGTGAGACTCCTATCTCCAATAAACCACCAGAAAACCGGAAGTGGCGCTGTAGCTCAAGTGGTAGAGCGCTCCCTTGAGCTGAAGAGCTGAGGAACAGCGCCCAGGCCCAGAGTTCAAGCCCCACGGCCAACAACAAAAAAAAAAAATTGAATATGGGATGAAGATACACAAGAATGCTGATTGTTCAACAATAAATGTTAGAAGGATTTGCTAGAGTTTCCCCCCTATTTGTGTTAGGGAAGCACAAGCTAGAAGATGAGTGATCTCTACAGTGCTGGAAGTGTTCCCCTCTTAGGGAAACCTACAGTACAGGTCTAAAAGCAGGCAGGAAATAGGTGATGTTAGAACAGGGATGTAACAGCCTGTCTGCTCATCCTAAGGATTGGATTTATTAACCTTATTTAAGGGCTTGCAGGAGTGGATGCTTTCTGGCTGTGTTCTGTCTCTTCTGTCCACCATCAAAATGTCCCTGCAATTCTCAGTTCTGTGCTACTTTCTAAAAGAAGATAGCCGGACCGGTGGCTCACACCTTGTAATCCTAGCTACTCAGGAGGCTGAGATCTGAGAATCGCGGTTCAAAGCCAGCCCAGGCAGGAAAGTCCGTGAAACTCTTATCTCCAGTAAACCACCAGAAAACCGGAAGTGGCGCTGTAGCTCAAGTAGTAGAGCGCTCACCTTGAGCTGAAGAGCTGAGGGACAACACTCACAGAGTTCAAGGCCCACAACCGAAAAAAATAAAATAAAAAATAAAAGAAGATAAATCCAGGACTGGGGTATAGATCAGTGGCAAAGTACTTGCCTAACAGGTGCCAATACTCCAGGTTGAATCCCCAGAACCAATTAAAAAACAAAAACAAAAAAAGCTGAGCACCGGTGGCTCAAGCCTGTAATCCTAGCTACTCAGGAGGCTGAGATCTGCAGATCATTGTTCAAAGCCAGCCTGGGCAGAAAAAATCCGTGAGACTCTTACCTCCAATAAACCACCAGAAAACTGGAAGTAGTGCTGTGGCTCAAGTGGTAGAGTGCTCTCCTTGAGCTGAAGAGCTGAGGGACAGCGCCCAGGCCCAGAGTTCAAGCCCATGACTGACAAAAAAAAAAAAATCCACAACCCTGCTTTCTTATTTCCCAGCCTTTGTGTCTCAGCGATCCCACAGAATTGGGTTTCCTTTGTTCTCTTTTACTCCTGGAATAAGGACTCTCCATTTCTTCCTAGAAGTCATCTTCTGTGGTCTCACCTTTGTAGCTAAAAACCTAGGTGGCTGTTATGTATAGGAGCATACCAAGGTCATGAAACAGATTTCTGGTTAACTTCCAGTCAAGTTCTACAGATCATACTGTTAGTTAGAATGGCTGTGATAGAATTCTTCTGGTCATTTTAGTTCAGGGTTTGTTGTCCTGATTAACCATAGCAGCTAAGCAATTGAGCCAAACTAGTAGAACCATCCAGATTACATATTGTACAGCTGCCTGATAAATCCAGGATTTGTTTATTTTGTTTATTAAACAGGGTCTCACTAGGTTGGCCTCAGCCTCCCAAGAGCTGGGATTAAATGAAAGATAGCCAATGTGTGTGTACATAATTTCATAAGTTGCTCTTTTCCTCCCATTCAGGAAATTGAGAATGTATTTTTAGTTGGCAACACAACAGTGGAAATACTGAATAAGAATTTACCCCTTCCCATAGTTTTAGCCTTCCAATTAGGAAGGTGCTATAAAATACTCAGTGTATAGTTGGGCCTGATGGGTGGTGTACCTCTATAATCCCAGCACTCAGAGAGGCAAGAGGATCATGTAGGCCAGCCTGCGCTTACACAGCAAGACTGTCTCAGCAAAACAAAACAAAAAGAATCTTTTCAGATTATTCATAGGTATAACCTTCCTCCCTACTATTCTTTCCCTTTCCTCCCTCCTTCCTCTCCCCTTTCTGCTTTCTCCTGCCTCCTTTTTTTTTTTTTTTTCCAGGAGAGGGGATGGGTGCTGCTTTCCCCTCTCCTGTGCTATGTCAGATATCAAATGAAGCTCAGAACACTATTCCATGTCAGGGTCATATGATAGGTGATAGTGTAACTTTGTGTGAGAAATTAAGTAAGAACCAAGGTGGGGGCACTAGAAAGGACTGTGTGAAAGAAGTGTTTACAGTGTGGTTGCCCAACCCAGACCAGGACTGGGACTTAGCATCCAAGCTCTACCACCTGAGCCACACCTTTTTTTTCTGTTTCCCAAAATGAGATCCACAGCCACAACTTAAGCAGATAAGTTTTAAGTCTGGGCAAATGTGCTGCAAGCTGGTCTTTAATGTTCCTGGAGTGATGAGAATTGGAATACATCTATAACATTATAACAGAACTCCACAGACACAAACCATGTGGTTTCTGTTTGTTCTTGTCTTTCATGAGGAACGTTACATGAACATCAGTATTGCTTGGGTCAGGGTCTCCACTGAACACAAAGCCCTTGTGTACATGCTCCCCAAAATTCTAAGGAAGCTGCAGTCTTTATTGGAGTTTCTTGATACCTTGTATACTTTCTGTGCAATTATGTAAATTCAATTTGGGCAAAATGCTGTTACTTTTTAGGGCTCTTCACTGAAAATAGATAATACCAATCCCCAACAAGGGAAAAAAATTGTTACTGTTATTTTTTAAATATATGATAAATTGGTGTTACTGCTTGTGTGTGTTCTTTTAGAATCTATAGTTCGGGCTGGGAAGGTGGCTCAGTGGTAGAGCGCTTGTCTTGCATGCATGAGGCCCTGGGTTCGATTCCTCAGCACCACATAAGCAAAAAGAAAAAAAGCTGGAAGTGGCATTGTGGCTCAAGTGGTAGAGTGCTAGCCTTGAGCTGAAGAGCTGAGGGACAGCGCCCAGGCCCAGAGTTCAAGCCCCACGGCCGACCAAAAGAAAAAAAAAAAGAGTCTTTATCTCCAATTAACCACTCAAAAACCAGAAGTAGAGCTGTGGCTCAAACTGCTACAGCATTAGCCTTGAGCAAAAGAGCTCAGTGGCAGCCCAGGCCCAGAGATCAAGACTCATAACCAACCAAAAAATAAAAAATAAACTGCCAGGCATTGGTGGCTCAAGCCTGTAATCCTAGCTACTGAGGAGGCTCTGAGCATTGTGGTTCAAAGCCAGCCTGAGAAGGAACGTCTGAGAGATTAATTAATCACTAGCAAACCAGAAATAAGAGCTGTGGCTCAAGTGATGGAGCGCTAGCCTTGAGCAAAAGAGCGCAGGGACAGCGCCCAGGCCCTGAGCTCCAGCCCTACAACCAACAAAAAAATACAATTTAAAAAACAAAAACCTGGGGCTGGGATTGTGGCTTAGTGGTAGAGTGCTTGCCTTGCATACATGAAGCCCTGGGTTCAATTCCTCAGCACCAGAAGTGGCGCTGTGGCTCAAGAGGTAGAGTGCTCACCTTGAGCTGAAGAGCGCAGGGACAGTGCCTAGGCCCAGAGTTCAAGCCCCACAACCAAGAACAACAAAAAAAACAATTCCTCACTACCACATAAACAGAAAAAGCCAGAAGTGATGCTGTAGCTCAAGTGGTAGAGTGCTAGCCTTGAACAAAAGAAGCTCAGAGACAGTACCCAGGTCCTGAGTTCAAGCCCTAGGACTAGCAACAAAAATCTCACTCCTGTAACCCTAGCTGCTCATAAGGCTGAGATTAGAGGATCTCATTTCAAAGCCAGCTGGTGCAGGAAAAATCTATGAGACTCTTCTCCAGTTAACCACCAGAAAACCAGAAATGGCGCTGTGGCACTAGCTTAAAGCACTAGCTTTAAGCAAAAAAGCTCAGGGACAGTACCCACTACCAACAACAAGAAAAAGCCAGGCACTAGTGACTCAAGCCTGTAATCATATCCACTTCAAAGGCTGAGATCTGAGGATTGGGGTTCAAAGCCAGCCCTGGCATTATGTTCTTGAGACTTGTCTCTGAAGTAGGGGTATGGCTGAAAGTGGTAAAGCACTAGCTTTGAGCAAAAAAGCTGAGACAGCACCCAGTCTCTGGGTTCAAGCCCTAGAGACTGTTT